TAATAATATGATTATTATTTTGTCTTTTTGAGACAGGGTCTCGCTATGTAGTTCAGGCTGACCTTGAGCTCACTTTGTAGCCCAGGCTGGTCTCAAACTCTCAGAGATCCTGCTGCCTTAGCCTCCTCAGTGCTGGGATTACAGGCGTGTGCCACCACACCTGGCAGTAAGTTTTATTATTGAAAGAATATAGGAATACATTTTGTTCTGAAAACTAGAAACGTAACAGATCTGTCTAACCACTTTCTGTAGTCTCAGTCTTCTCATGGCATCCACCTTTATTAGGTATACATTTCCAGATAAAGTTACAGTTTATTTCCATTTATTCAAGCTTATGATAGTTTAAAGATTGTAATTTTTTCCAAATAAAACAGAGTCCTTTTGTTTGGGTAGATTTTACATTTATTGTGTATTTAATTAAAATGCGCTCACTGTTGTGCTAGGCACCATAAAAGTATAAAAACAAGGCTGTGTTCAGTGCTCTCAGCTTTCAGTCACAAAGAAATGAGACCTGCACATAAAATATGAAAGCGGTATAGTGGTTATGATCATCGATTGCCAAAATAAATGAACAAGTTAATAAGCAACATTAGGATAATAATTGTGGCCTTAAGAGGTCACACACAGATGCTTAAATGGAAAAGGTTAATCTTAGAGTCAACCTTGACAAATTGGTTGGTCATTTTAGATAAGGTAGACTACAAGGAAGTGCTTAAAAATAGAATTGGATATGGGTTTTGAGATTAGTGTATAATAGAGACCAACTTGATTGCCATGAATAATTTATGATGGAAATGACATTAGTATTTTGATGTACACATGTCATAAACATGTTTCTAAAGCTGATAATTTTGAGTTTAATTCCAAAACAATGTGTAAACTAAGACACTTGGGTGGGGAATGGGGAAGAAGTTTAGTATATGAACTTTAATTTGGCAGCATTGTGTCATCAAAAATTGTCAGTACGAGACTGAAGGTTAGATTCTCAACCTTCAGTGTGTGTTCATCGTGGGTGCTGAGAAATGTCACTCAAAGCTTTGTTGTGAATACCATTTTGTTTCTGTGAGCATGAGTGTCCATGGGAAACCGGGACGGGAAGGTGGTGTGCAGTAATACTGCAGAAGACACTTTGTTTTCATTTCTTATGTTGGAACGAATCCATTGATGAAATGCTTATTCCTGTCATGTGAAAAGAAAATATTTTGCAGTTATTTCATATTTGAAAATCTTTACAGTAGAGGGGCCTTATTACTGTTCTCTGAGAAATAGCTAGACTTCTGGTTTTTACTGGTTTGGACCTACTTGCCTTTTTAAATGTTTTATGATAGAATAATAATATCTAGATTAAAGGAAATTTTATTTTACTAAAGATTAACTGTGTGACCACACAACAGAAAATTGAACATTTATATATAAGCACTTTATCAGAGAGTAAAATTCTACTTTATTTGAAAAATATTTCCTAGATATGGGACCGTACACTATTTCTAAAGCTAAGTGAAAATACAGTAAGATAGCTGCCTTCACAGGAAGAAAACAAAGTTCTTACTTTATAGTGTATCGTGATGAATCATAAAGGAAACATGGGCGATCACTGGAAATATTTAGCTTTTCAGAGTTTTTGGAACAGCTGCCCTAAATGCTTTTGAGATACAGTAAAGGCCAGGAAAGACAAACAATTGAAAGTTTCTTAGACTTTACTTACTTCATTAGTAATGAGAATAATGCATCTCAAATGTTGTATTTGTATTAAGACATGCCTTTTAAATGGTACTCTAAATTACAAGGATTTTTTTTTTTACTGCTTTTTAAACTTTTTCACATTACTTTGTTTTGGACTTAGAAATTCAGTCTTTTTGCTTGGATGTAAGATTTTTATGCATCTTTGCTTAAAACATAAAATTCCTTCATAATGGGATACAAGATTAATATTAAAGCAGTATTGATGTTCCTTTACACATTGTTGAGACAGATTATAAGTGTGTGTACCTTTGCGTATATGCTGTATTGATAGTGGTTAGAAGTATGACCCTATTGGTAACCTTTTTAAGCAAATGAAACTGTTTGGATGCTTTCCCAGGATGATTGGATTGCCCTCCAGACGAATCTCTTCTATACGGTCTCGAATATAACGGGTGTCATTAGACTTGCAGAATGTGTCATCTGTCACTGAAGTTATGTTGTTGAACTGAAAAAGAAAAAGAAAAAAAATTATTCAAAAGTCTGAAATCAATCTGTTGTATGCTATGTAATGGGATTCCACAGAATAACTAATCTAAAAAGTACTTTAAAAGTAATTGTACATACCATATATCTCACAGTAACTAAATCCTTTCTGTGCAATCTAATCACTTTTTTAAAGTGTGTAGTGCTATTTTAGAAGACTACTTGCTATTATTTGGAGTAATATCTATGTAGCATGAAGTTTGGAATAAGATTATATGGGTTAGTTGAAGAAATGCTATCCTAGAGTATCAACTCAAAATGGGTACTGCATCATTAAATATTCTCCAAAAACATAAAAAGCCAGACTTTGTGGCATATGCCTGTAGTCCTGACACTCTGGGAGGCTGAGGCAGGAGGATTGCAAGTTCAAGCCCAGCCTAGGCAAGAGACCTTGTCTCAGATAAAAAAATAAAAAATAAAAAACTCAGTGCAAAGGCCCTGGGTTTACCGCCTCACCACAAAGGAGAAGAGCAGAGATGAGAAGAGGGAATTCTTATGATGCTAAGAGATCAATTTAGTTTATTTTCATTCTTTCTTCATTTTTGCATTTCCAACTTGATGTTGTCCTATAAAACCAGCTAGAAAGTCTGCAAAAGCAGATGTTCACCACTATATGGAGAAAGAAACATAAATGAGAGACCTGAGTGCTTCTTCCCTTCTAATCCATGTGTTAGGATTATTAGGAAATTCCATGTATACTTCTGGAGATGAATCTTGCTCAAAGGCAAACTTTATACCTACAAAGCTGCTTTCCTTGGTATCCTCTGGAAGCAGGGTTCATACACGTATATATTGATTTTTTTTTTTTTTTCTGGTACTGGAAATCGAACTCACAACCTTGCGCTTGCCAGGCAGGTGCTGTGCCGCTGAGCTAAATCCCCAGCCCTGCTTATATATTAATTAATGTTCTTTTTTTGGCAGTTCTGGGGATTAAATCCAAGATCTCTGAGGTACACCTTCAGCTGTTTATTTGTTTAGAGACAAGGTCTTGCTAAGTTGCCTGGGACTGAAAATTGCACTCTTTCTGCCTCAGCCTCCTGAGTAGCTGGGATTATAGACATGTATCACCAATGCCCGGCTAGACATTAATCCTTCTGATAAGCATTGTCACACTAGTGTAATGATCTAACTGTTACATGTGAAAGAATGAGTTTGCCAACAATTCATTAGAATGACTTATAGGTAATTTTAAAGCAGACATTGTTGAAGGATCCTTCATACCTGCAGATGAATTATACGCAGACTTTCTGGTAAATTAGGAGGCACAGATTCGAGGGCATTGTGGTCCAAGTAGAGGAAAGAGAGCTTATTCAATTTCTGTGAAGAAAATTTCATTTGAGTGTTACTGAAGTCTGCATTTCTTTTGCAGGGTTCAAGCAGTATATACATACAAAAGGATATTGATATAAACACATATAAGTAGTATCACTTGTTGGTATGGTAGTTTGTTGTTTTGGCTGCTGGTTTTAGCTTCATAAGTAGTGTGCTTAGCAAGATGTCTCTTGAAGCAGTTTATTAAACCGTGTAGCTTGATGTGGCTTGTTCTGTAAGGGCTTTATGTTGGATTACTGTTTAAATCAGTAACTCATTATCACGGATGATTGTATACCATCGTTTCAGAGTGTAGTTTTCTCTGGGATTTTTCCTTTACCTTAACTTTGAAATGCAAATGAGATGCTAAACTTTGCTAATTCTTCACTGTGCTGTTATTTTAAACCTTTCTTAAATATCCTACTTCCCCACCAGATGGAGACAGTAAGTGGGTCCTCCCAGTGGGTCTCATTTACATGAGTAACAGTAACCTGATTTTACCAGTGGCCTTTGCAGGCAGCAAACGAAACTAAAATATAGTCAAGTTTATCATTTTCATGCCAATTTGTCATAAATCCATGTTTAAAACCCAAAATATGTAAACTAGTTGTTTGTTTGTTTGAGATAAGAGTCTTGGTATTTTACCAACGTTGGCCTTGAACTCCCAGAATGATCTTTCTGCCTTAGCCTCTCTAATAGCCGGGACTACAGACACGTGCTACAGTTCTAGGCTCTAAACATTCTTTTTATGAATGACTGATCAGCTTGTAGGTCCAAGGCTCACCTACTTAATTTATATCTGCATATTACAAGGTTTTTTTTTAAAGAACTGAGTCTTCCCTTTAAAAATCCCTTAAGTGCTCCTTAACTTCCGAGTCCTTTATAAAAAACATCAGAGAAATTCTGAAATGACTCTAAAAATGTCCCTTAAAATTGAAAAAGGATACTATATTAACAAAAAGAAAAATGAAATATTTTTAATTTTCTAACTGACTTACGTATGTGTAGATTATACATTTGTGTGATTATTGTCAGCTATTTTTTGTTTGTTTTAAAGGAAGAGATATTTAATATGGCACATGATTCAGGGACCTCAGTCCAAAGTCTGCTGGATCGACAGCAGAAACATGGTAGAAGGACATGGCGGAAGAAAGCTGCTTACCTCATGGCAACCAGGAAGCAAAGAGCTATTGTCAGTTTTGTGATAGTGCATATATAGGTCTTTATTAGGAGCTATTTGTTTCTAATTATAAACTATAGTATCTGAATTAGGCTGTATCTGTTGCTAACAGCGGGTTGGTCATTCCATACTTTTACCTACCAGGACTGGATCAATTATATCAGAGTGGTGGAAAACCTGGGGTAATTAGTTGTGCAAACCATATTCTTTGAGGCAATTTGGCTACTACCTAAGCTTCCCCTTTTCCTACAAAATATTCTCTTGAATTACTAAATTAAAAAATGTTTGTAAGTCTTACTACATGGAGAATTTTGTGTTAGGTGCTATGGTAGAATTCAGAAAAAAATCTTATCTATTGAATGTTATAGTCTAATATTTTTACATAGTAAATGTCAAATTCAGTGTATACTTTTGGAACTTCATTTTTCTAGTATTTATAAGTTGTTAATGTTTTAAGGATAAAAGAAACATAGGAAAGGCCCCAGTTTGAGTTTTTATAGACTGTAAGTGCCACAAGAGTCCAACCAGCTCTATCTAAATATTTACTGTATAAATAGGTGAACAAATGATGCAGCATACAGTCTCATGAAACAAAATAGAGATCATGGATTGTAAGTGAGGTGCAGGCATAAAGTAGGCTGAGTGAGCCTAACCGTATAGCTACTTACTGTGTAAGTAAGGTCTTTATTTATTATATAAAAATAATTTTAAAATGTAATCAAAGTAAAAACTGGCACTGTGTTGCACACCTGTAGTCCCAGCTACTCAGGAAGCTGAGTCAGGAGGACCACTTAAGCTCAGGAGTTGAAGGCCAGCCTGAACAGCATACTGAGACTCGGTCTCAAAAAAACAATGTAGTGAAAACACAGGAGTAGGCCATAGTTTCTCTCTCTTAACATATTATCCCCATATAAAATACTTACTTTGAAGGCATTTGCTTTGATTCCTCTACTCTTGATTTTGTTATGTTTTGCATTAAGTAGAATGAGCTTTGGAGGAAGAACTGGAAGTTTCAGTAGTTGATTTTCAGCAAGTGAAAGTTCTTCCAACAGAGAAAGTTTTGAAAAAGTACCATCTTCTATCTCTTCTATCAAATTTCCAGTAAAATCAAGTCTTCTTAAGTTAGCTTGAGGGGGGAAAATGCACAACAAAGTGTGTAGGTAGGAGGTAAAAAGAATTAAGATGTGTCATGTGCACATACCAACTACCTACAAAGAATGTAATCATCATATATTGCAAACACATACTAATAAAAAGTTTTTTAAAGTATGAAGGTAGAATCTCATTGTGCAGACTAAGCAAAAGCATTTGTTTAGCGGATTGCTCACACATCTTTAGTGCCTAGTAGAGTGTCTGCAGTCAGCACTTGTTGTTTGCAGTGCTGGAGACCGAACCTAGGGCGTTGCATATGCCAGGCAAGCACTCTGCACTGCACAACATCCCCAGGCCCATCAGGGTAAACTTGTTGGACACTAAGCATCTCTGTGTACCTAACAATGATGCCTTTTCTAACTAAATTCTTAGTTTTCAAGTTTGAGAGGCAGCTCAGCATCACAACTCTTTCCATCCTTCTCTGAATTCCTCAGGATATACAGGTAGTTTATAAGAAATTTTTATTACAAATCAAAGAAAGTATTATATTTGAGTGAATGAAATCATACAATTAATATTTTCTGGTAGCATGATGCATTGTAATGGTGTTAACCTCTCTATGCTTTATTGTTTAACAACAGCAGAGAAAAAAGTACGCCCTGATTTGTTAAGGTGATACAGCCTGAGAGCTTGAGAGATTTAGTGTATATATGCATATAGTATTGCTTATGTTTGGGATAGTTCTACAGTTGCTTCTCATTGGCAGTAGTCATTTTCTATAAAGTTGTTGCAACTTTGAATTAGTGTGCACTCAGCTATTACTTATGGGGGAATTACAGAATTAGGTTCCCCTGAACCTCTAGTCAAACAGTCATTTTTGTCAACCAGCTAATACAAACCTTGTTTTTTTTGTGTTGTGTTTTTGTTTCAAAACAACTTATTTAACATAAATTGTTGAGTCATTAACATTACTCTATGATTTATACCTGAATGAAGCTTATCTAACACATGTATTTTCTCTGTAAGGCATGTCACAGGTTTTCCTGCACTTAGAAACACTAGATAATGCTTTAACACTAGTGCTATTTTCAACAGCAAAACACTCAACAAAAACCCCCCTAAAACAGGTACTACATACTCTCAACAAGGCATTAATTACAGTGTGAAAGCTGAAAATAGAAGAGAGTGTTATCTTATTCAACCTCAGCTAGAAATGTACATTTTAAGCCTCTAAAAATGTTTGCTGTTCTCTGGTTGTCTGGTAATGATCATAGAAGTACCACATATATTGATTTTGGGGTTACAAACAGATTTTCATGAGTTTGAAAATATAGGTTCCACAAATAATGGGGATCAGCTGTATAGTTGGGTGCTAGTAATGACATTATGAATCCAGTTGTAGTTAAACTCAGAAATGTGTTGTAAGCCTAGTGTGCCTTTCTTGGTGTCATTTATTCAGAATAGTTGACAACCTAGTAGTCTAGAAAGCTGACAACACATTAGTGATCTGGGTCTGGGCCTTGTACTGCACAAATGGGATATTGTGCTGATGGTAATACCATGGGTTAAGTTTTGATAGGAAACCGGACTGTTACTGACCAGGGAAGCATTGAAATGACATTCTTCTCAGTACCATTTCTGTATTAGAATCATCCAAGGAGTTTGGCTGGCTTTAATGATGATGCCTACGCCTTCCCCCAGACCTGAGTTAGAATGCCTGGGGAATACAGTCTAGTATCAGTATTTTAAAATATCTCCTCAGATATTTTTAATATGTAGCCAGTTTAAGAGCCATGAGTTACAGAAAAGCAGTTACTATACTTCTATAGTGAAGGTAGGAAATAAAATGCTCTGGTTTAAGAAATATCCTTGTTATACTGGTGCTGCTTACTATCAGAGGTATAGTAGATCTTGAACTATTGTGCTTTAGAAGATTCAGTTGTCTTTACATTAAACAGACTGTCAACATAGATACCAAAGTTACCGTTAAAGAAAAGTGACAAGAGATTTACCCACAAAGCAATGGATTTTTTGTGAAGTATGTAGACATCTGCACCCTCCAACAGTGACACCCTGGGAGTATAGTAGGTTGCAAATATGTAGGAATATCTTATTTAAACTGAACTTACGCATGTCTGCAAAATCCTTGGCAGTCAGCTTTTTAATTTTGTTGAATCGTGCATAAAGATAGGCTGATTCCTTGGGCAAGGGTGGTACAGTGTCAATATCAACTTCTTCACAGTATACAGAACCACTTAAACATACACATAGTAGGCACGTGGGCATTTCTGAATTGGGAAACAAAATCATAAAAGTTTAAACAATAGTTTGAAAATTTTGGGCCTCTGATGGTAAAATTATTGCTACATGAATGCTGTTGCTAATTTGAGAAGATACTGCACATAAGTCATGTGTGATAGCAGGAAAGATAGTCATGGTAGCCATTGACCTACACTTTCCTTGGTAACTAATCAGAATTTTATTTTAAAGTCTGTAATCTACACTTTTTATTGTCTGATTTAGCAGTGCTTAATTGTTGACTTGATTGACACTTATCATGTCCTCATTTGAATACCAAAAAAATTCATAAAGCAGGAGTTAAGGAAACCCAAGTTTGATTTATCAAGTTTGGTGTATCAGATACATATTTCAGATTGGTGACATTAGAAACCCATAGTTAAATGAGCAATCAATTACCTTGAAAAGTAGAATCACCACAGTCATTGCTTGGATCCCGAGTTCAGATCCCTCTTGGGATGCTATAACCCCCAGTCATCCTTTGCACTTATTAGTCATATCTCTTTTCTTTATCTTGCAGCGTTTGTTACCTATTACTTTTCTGAGAAGTACAGGGCTTTCCCCCTTCCCTCCTACATCAATTTTGCAGACGTTTTTTTCTGTTTTGGCAGGAATACCATGGAAATGCTATTACATTTACAGTGGCATGAATCAGGAGTTGTGTGATTTCTATCTGTCTCATTTCTGATAATATCTTTGGTCACTTGGTTCAGTGAGTGTCATGTTTCTTGTTCCATTTTTTTGTTTTTGTTTTTGTTTTTTTTTTGGTTTTTCTCTGGTACCGGGAATCGAACTCATGGCCTTGCACTTGCCAGGCAGGCGCTTTGCAGCTGAGCTAAATCCCCAGCCCTGTTTTTTTGTTTTTCGTTTTTCTTCCAGTACCAGGAATTGAACTCACGACCTTGCGCTTGCCAGGCAGGCACTTTGCCGCTGAGCTAAATCCCCAGCCCCAATGTTTCTTGTTCTGTAACGTTACTGTTTTTCACCTTGTAATTAAATATCTTCTGGAGAAGTACTTTGAGACCAAAGGAGTGGGGGAAAGGTCTAGTGCATGATCAAATGTTCATCCACTATTTTTAGCATTCATTGATGATTCTTAGTTGAATTATTTATCATTAGGATAGTTGCAAAGAGTTTCATTTTTCCTTCTGCGTATTTTAGTAGGTATTCTCCTGTGGGTTGAAACACGCCTTTATTTGTTTTTGTATATCAGTATGTACTTATGTACTCTCTATCCTATGAGTGATATTCTCTTATTGACATGATTATTTTATTTTTATTTTTATCATGATTATTTTAGTAATCAGTTGCCACAGTGTAGCCAATGAGAGCCCTTTGAAGATTTTTTTCCTTCTGCCACAACTTTTTGTTATTAACTGATACACAGTAAATTGCATATATTTAATTTGTACAATTTTAAAGTTTTTAGCATATGTATACACCCATGAAGCTTTCACTTCAGTTGAGATAATTAATATATCCATCATCCCCCCAAATTTTCTGGTGCCCCTTGGTAATTCCTTCTTCTCACTCTTGTCCCTAAGCAACCACTTCCTGTATCTGCTGTCAGTCGCTATATGATAGTTTGCAGTTATAAGAATTTATGAAAAAAAGAATCATACAATATATCCTTTTTTGGGGGGTTGGGTCCTTTCACTCAGCATAATTATTTTGAGATTTATGTATTATTGCATGTATTGGTAATTCATTCCTCTTTATTACTGAATAGTATTTCTTTTTTTTTTTTTTTGGTTTTTCTCCGGTACCGGGAACCAGACTCACGACCTTGCACTTGCCAGGCAGGTGCTTTTGCCGCTGAGCTAAATCTCCAGCCCCTACTGAATAAGTATTTCCTTAACTCAGTATATAGAGTCTACCCGAAAATGTATATACACTTCAGCCATTCATCATACTAGTAAATGTCTGGAAGCTAATGGCCACCACTCTGAGTACCTCTTGTAATTGCAGAGGACAAAGGTAGCTTGTATTAAGCTCATGATGTCTCAATAAATTTAGTATGAAAATATTTATACAAGTGTATCTTTTCCTTATGTATACATTTTTTTTGGCAGATTCTGTATATGATTTTTCATCAGCTCTTAGAGACATGTGGCTGTTTCCAGGTTTGGGGCATTTCAGAGAATGCTATGAACATTATGTACAAGTTTGTGCAGACTTACTGCTTTCATTCTAGACTAGAAGTGGAGTGACTAGGTTTTAATATCGGTGAATGTTTACCTTTAGAAGTTTCCAACTATTTTCCAAAGGATTATGTCATTTTTCCATTCCTATCATCAGTGTGAGAGTTGGAGTTGCTCTATATCCTTGGCAGCATTTGATGTGGCCAGTCTTTGTAATTTTAGCCATTCAAGTAGGGTATGTAGTGATATCTTTCTGTGTTTTAATTAGAATTTCCCGAATGATGATTGATGTTGAACATCTTTTTATGTGCTTATTTGCCATCCACAAATTTTCTTTAAGGTCTGTTCATATGTTCATATGCCTACTTTATAGTTGGATTTTTGTGCTTTATTAAATTACAAGAGCATACTAGATAAGTCATTTGTCAGATTTAAATTTTATGAATGTTTTACCCTGGTTGTAACTTGTCTTTTCATTTTTTTATCAGTGCTTATTGAAGTATAATTAAAATTTTAATGAACAGTTGGTTCCTTTATAGTTCATGTGGTTGTATGTCTGAGTTAAATTTAAGAAATGTTTTTCTATCACTGTTTGTCAGCTTTCTGCCACTGTGACACAGTACCTGAGATAATCAAAGGAGGAAAGACTTATTTTGGCTCTCAGTTTCAGAGGTCTCAGCCCATGTTCATTCAGCTCTGTTGCTTTGGGATCTATGATGAGACAGAGCATCATGGAAGGAAGTAGGTGGCAGAGCAAAGCTTTTCACTTTATGGTAGCCCAGAAGCAAAGAGAGAAGGTACTGGGGTCCCAGTATCCCCTGCCGGGTCTGCCCCCTCACCTAACTTCCTCAGACTAGTCCCTTTCTCCTCTATGCAACCCTGTCAGCTGAGGCCAAGCCTTTAGCGTATGAACTTTGGGAGACATTTAAGATTCAAACCTTTAACCACCACAAGTATTTTATCTTTTTTTTTTTCTTCTACAAGTTGTGTAGTTTACATTTAGGTATAGGACCCATTTTTACTTACCATATATGGTATCAGGAAATGTCAAGTTTTTTTTTCTTCCCTGTGACTATTGGCTGTTTCAGCATGATTTTTGCAAAGTTATTCTTTCCCCCATTTATTTATGCTGGCACTTTCTCAAAAACCAGTTGGCCATACATTTTGATAAATATTTTAAAATATGTAAAATGTCCCCATTCTTTGAGAACTTCCTTATTTTCTGACATGGCAAGATATCCTTGACTAATTTTATATTTCCTCTGCCCCAGCCCTGAAATCAGGTATCTTTTTAAGAACCTAGTTCCTTTCAGGGAGGCACTTGTGCCGCTGAGCTATATCCCCGGCCAGTTCCATCAATGGAGCTATATCCCCGGTCAGTTCCATCAATTGTGTAGGGCAAGCTTGGCCTAAGCTTTGATTGTTCTTGAATGTTCTTGTTTCAGATTTCTCACTCAGAAGGTGAGATGGCAAATGATATGCATTTCTAATATACCTGTTTGAGTCTACCATTGGAGATGAAAATTCTAGTTTGTAATTATTATATTTTGAGACGTTTGATTACTACAATGAATAAAGTGTTTGAAACAAAGATTCAGATGCTGAGGATGCTCATGTTTTTTGGGATATCATTGCTTCAAGACTCTTTCAATAAAGAGAGCTAGGAAAAATAAGTGTGTCTTTTTCTATCTCCATAAATAAATACACATAACATATGTATATAAGCATATGCTATATACATGCATATAACACACATGCACATATATAAATACACATCATAAACATGCATGAAAACAGTACATCTGTATTACTGTCTCTCTGTTCTTGTATACAAAGCATTAATTAATACCAGTGGTGATGAACCTATGGCATGCATACCACAGCCAGCTGTTGGTTATCCTTGAAAGCTCTAAAAGGTTTGCCATCACTGGCTTACATGAAGGAACAGTGCTGCGAAAATCAATTCAACACAGAAAATGTATACTGAGAGCAGTGAACACTACCCATTCCAAATTTGCCTTTACCTCCTTCCCATCTACCCATTCTTTCTACCCATGATCCCATTTATTCCCTGTAAATAACGGTCTTAAGTTTTGTTTTTTGTTCAGTTTATTTGTTCATTTGTTTGTTTTTTTAGTGATGAGGACTAAACCCAGAACCTTGCACATATTAAGCAAGCATTCTACCATTTCATCCCAAGCCCATCTCAGTTTTTTTAGTTACTATTCTTGTGTTTCTTTTCACATAAATGAGCAGATATATGTAAATTTTCTTATATCCCTTTGTTTCTTTCATGAAAGGCGCATATTATAAATACTCTCTGGTACTTTTTCTTCACAAAGTACAGTCTATATTCTTAGCAAACTTTTTCATTCATTTTAAAAACTGCACTGTATTTTCTTGTTTGGAGGTGCCATGTTTATTCAGGCATTCTTTAGTGCTGGGCAATTAGGTTATTTCCACTATTTTGCAACTGCAAATAATGTTTTGATAATTTTGCATTTGCATTTCCTTATTTTAGAAGTGTATCTTCAGGGCAATTTCCAAGAAGTTGATTGCTATGTTGAGAAGTGAAGGTATATTTGCTTTTGTTAGATATTACCAAATTTCTGTTTAAAAATGTTGTACTAATATGCATTTCTGCTAGCAGCGTATAACAATGTTATGCTACGGCCTTGTCCATGAAATGTTAGTATATGGTCATGCTTTCATTTTTACCAGTTATATAAGTTAAACATGGTATCAATGTAATTTTCAGTTGTATTTCTATAACTATGAGGTTAAACATCTTTTCATATGTTTAAGGGTCATTTGAAAAGAATTTTGTGAATTGTCTTCATTGTCCATTTTTCAAGCAGGTTTTTCGTAGTTTCTAAGAGTTCTCTAAGTTACAAATGTTTGTTTGTTTTCTGTAGCAGATATTCTCCCCAGTTTTCACTCTGTCTGACTTTTTTTTTTAAATTTTTTTATCTTTTTGAGACAGGGTCTCGCTATGCAGTTCAGGCTGGTCTTGAGCTCACTTTGTAGCCCAGGCTGGTCTTGCACTCACAACAATCCTCCTGCCTCAGCCTCCCAAGTGCTGGGATTACAGGTGTGCGCCACTACGCCCGGCTTCTGTTTGACTTTATGACTTACCCCATTCAAAGTTTTACTTTCATGGAGTCAAATTTGTTGATCTTTTCTGTCAAGATCTCTAGATTTTTGAGGCACCCTATACTCAGGCTGTCTCCTAGTACTTGTATGATTTCATCTCACTCATTTATGTTGCTAATTCATTTGGAGTTTATTTTTCTATGTAAGGTATGGATCTAATTGAGTCTTTTTTCAAAAGGCTAAAAGTATTTTTTTCTATCATGAGTTGAGTTCGTACCTTAATTATATATGAAAATTTCTGTGTATAGATATTTCTGTCTCTGTTTTTTTCTTTTTGAGACAGGGTTTCACTGTATAGTTCAGGCTGGACTAGAACTGAGTTTGTAGCCCAGGCTGGTTTTGAACTCCTAGTGATCCTCCTGGATCAACCTCCCAAGTGCTGGGGTTATAGGTGCGCGCCACCACGCCTGGCTTATTTCTGGTCTTTTCTATTCCACTGGCCTTTTTGTATATTTCTGCAGTAGCATTCACAGTTTTTAAAGTGTGTTTTAATGTGTGGTAGGTATAGTTCCTGTATGTACCTGACATTATTCAGTGTTTCCTGATTATTTTTGCATATTTTTCAAATGAACTTTAGAGTCAGTGTTTTTTACTACATAAAAAATTATTGGGTAATTTTAGTGGCATTATCTAATATTTATAAATTTATAAAGAAATGACATCTTTATGATCCTGAATCATCTTTTCCAAAAACAAAGGAATGCTTTCCATTTACTCAAACCTGATTTGACTAAAAATACTTCCTAAATTTTTTAAGAGATGTTTTCTATTTTGGTTCATTTTAATTCATATTTTAGCAAAATAGAAATTAGTGTACTTTTTCCGTGTTTTTATGTGAAATAATGTTCTGTGATAGAGCAAGAATAAACCAAACACATAACTATTAAATAGTACCGGTCACTTACTTTGTAGTAAGTTTTCTCTTCTTTTAATTGAAATGGACACTGTAGTTATTTATAAGGGCCATTTCTCTTCTGTGAGTTTCTTGAAGGTAAGGATTGCATTTTGTTTACCATATCCTAAGGCAGTATATTGTATCTGGCAAATAATCTTTAATTATTTCTCAACATGATCTTTTGTGGACAAAAACACAGTTTGTGTAGGGCAAGCTTGGCCTAAGCTTTGATTGTTCTTGTTTCAGATTTCTTACTCAGAAGGTGAGATGGCAAATGATATGCATTTCTAATATACCTGTTTGAGTCTACCATTGGAGATGAAAATTCTAGTTTGTAATTATTATATTTTGAGACAGTGTTTGATTACTTTCCATTATAGCTATTTTTAAAAGATTCTTCTGAAAAAATTAGATGATACAGTACAAACTTACCATCATTTTCTTTCTTGGGGGGTAGTGATGTTACAGTCTCATCTCTTTGTAACTGAAATCTGTTCTCGTCAGGTATTATAGGCACTTTTTCCTGTTAGAAAAATAAGTTTTTTATCAGGTGTGATAAAATAAGTTTGATTATAAAGTTGGATCACAGTACTTCTCAGATTCATAATTACTGTCATTTCCTTTGTGCTTCACTAGGATTTTACACATACTTCTACTTCATCATGCATTAAATTACAATGTAAATATGTTCTTATTCTAGACTTTGCACCTCTTAAATAAAAGAACCAGGTCCTTTTAATTTTTAGATTTCCAGTGGCTAAACTCAGTAGCTGGTAAATATTGAACATAGTGAAATTCCAAATGGGAGGGAACTGGGAGGGAATTCTCTGAATAAGAATAAAAGATTTTCTGAAGTGAAACTATCCCATATGGTTCTTGTCGGAATTTAATTCCTCTTATTAGATTCTGTCATTTTGAACAACACTAGAGCTCCAGCATGCCACGTTTGTGAAGTACTGCATGAGCTCTTCTAGTCTCTTCCAGGGTAGCCTTTTAATTATCTACATACCTTCATGCCCTGGCCTTTGAGGCCCTTGTGTTCCAGTTTCTCCTCCCATTTGGACCACTGGAGTAAGCTTATAACACTAGAAATGAAGGTCCTTATCATTTACCCTCTCTCCTATTCTTAGAAGGTATGTTTTCTGCCAGTAAACTATAGCGTATTAGGTGAGGCTCTGTTCTTTCTACCCTCTGTAAGCTTGCTCCACATTATCTTAGGCATGGCTCCAGATGTAGCCTTCATTTTTCACCTGTGTGCTTCCTGAACATCCCTCCCACACTCTGTCCCATTGAATTCTACTCCATTCCACAAATATTAGTGTACACACAGATATTAAGAGAGAGAGACTGCTGGAGCCTGTAAAAAGAAGCAGCAGAGGGAAAGTCATCTCTAAGCTTTTTAGACAAGGGAATTTTGAAAGTGTTCTTAAAATTAATTGACAAATTCATGTCATCGAAATGAGCCAATAGTTTATGTTATAATATGCTTTTTTAAAAACTTAAGTTATGACTAGAGATACCTGGTTTTTTTGGCCTTACTCATAGGGCAGAAATAATACCACCATGTTAACTAATTCTATTGGAAGATACTGTGATGTTAACATTTATTCATGGTGTGCTAAGAGGATTTAATTATGCAATAAAAATCTTGCTGTCTAATTTACAGAGAACTTCTGAAGCAACTGATATTATGTATTTATTTTCCATTGTGTGTGTATATGACACACAGTGGGCAACCAATAGTTTGTATGCTGTGTTAGCTTTTTCCTTGCCCAACATTTTTTCTTTGTGCCAAGAAAACCACAAGTACTTACTTTGCCTATAAAGGAGGATGTGAGTGATGTGGTGCAAAAGTTTTCCCTTCAGAGTGTTAACTCAGTTACAATTACAGATCCTTGGTACAGACTATACACTTAAAACACCATAGTAAGTAGAATTTTTTATTTTTTGGTGCTGTGTATAGTTAGCATCGCAAATACTTTTCTGTTTGTTTCACTGAACTTTTTTCTAAACTAATAAACCTGATAATTCATCTTTATATCTCCTAATTATTTTTGAGGCAATATAGTATGCAAATATAGGACACCATGTAATATTACTTAACGTAAAAATTACAGTTGGACAGGGATGATCTTAAAGTCTAGTTTTCTTTAAGTTTTGTTTTTGGTTACTGTAGCTACTGTTTGATTACCATAGGTATTGTTTTTAATTTGGAAGGTATGGATATATTAAAAGTACAGTCATAGGAATAATTAAGGTTACTCTTAATCATTTAAAATGCTTTTGCTTTCCCCTCACCTTATCAGACATATTCATGAAAAACAAAAACATGCATTTAAGTGGGTACTATTTTAGAAGATAAATTTAGAGTAGAAATAAAGTACCTTATTATTTTTTCCATCTTGGTATTTATCCTCATAGTCTTGGCTAAGTATGGTTTCTTCAAAATTATCTCCTCCATACTCATAGATAACGTGTGAGTCCTGTTGCGTTGATGGTGCTGGCTGTGTCAGAGGCATGAATAGTAACAATAGTAGTGTGGACCGCATAGTCTTCATCTCAGCAGAAATCAAGGTGACTGGAAGTTAATAAACTAGTAGCCTGCTTATTGTGAAACAAAACTCTCTTATTCCCTGGAAATAAAAATGCAGACCATCGATGCAATATTTAAAAGCTTAGAGGATGTTTTTGGCAGGGTATACGCAGTAGGGGCCAGAGAAAAAGTATTTAACCCTTAGTGATCTTTAATTAGATACTAACAGATTTTGTGTATCAGTGAACATTCTGAAAAATTCTTTGAGAAAGTTTAATTTGTCTAGCAAAAATCCAAGAAATGTTGATAATTCATGTTTCTTAATAATTAAGTGCCCTGAATATGGGTATTCATATGCAATTGAAATCTTCTTAGGATACCTGTAGTACAAATAGTTAAAGTGAAGACACAAGATCTGGTCTCATGTGAGTTAAAAATATCATATTTCAACTGCTGCTTTATAAGAACTCTTGATTTATATTGGTAGGAAAGAAACAATTTCCAAGAAAAGTTTTAAAACTTAAACTTGAAATTTCACTTCTTGAAAAGTAGTCATTAATTGCTTCTCAGCCTTTTGGCTAAGATCAAGTGAAAAGTAGTCATTAAATTTTACTTTTAGGTGGTACATAATACTGGAAAATCCATAAATCTTTTAGTTTTGTAAATTTAATAGTTTATCACTATTTTGAGTTAATATTACTGCTGTTTTAGTTTAACCTATGAAAATTATAACAATAGTATTGCAGACTAGAGGAAATTTAGAACTTTAATCAAAGAATTTTGGGGAATGTACTAGAGAGGTTTCTTTGAGGCTCATCAGTCGATCTGGGTATACATTTCAGACTTTTTAAAAATATTTTCAAGCAGAGTCATTCAGAGTTACTGATGCTGCATTATAGATGCCAGTTTGTCAAAAATCCAAAGGTTAGAATGGAAAAAGGTTAGAATGGGTTTGTGAATTTTGCAGCACCTAGTTCTTGCCAGCTTGGTATTAATGCTATGCAATGACATATGAAAAGTACTTGTTAAAAATTAATGGTTCAAGGTAACAAATTTAAACACATTAGAGATGTCCTTTTCATTTAAGACTATTAGATGCATCACACTGTAACAAATGATATTTAAAATAATAAATGAAAAGCAAGCCTACCGTTGTAGCTGTTTCGAAGTTTTCTTTAATAGGTGTTCATGCCTGTGCACTAGCCCCAAAAGGGAAGGGGGACTGAGAAAAGCTGTGGGTTGATTTCAGATTGTTGAATAAAATTTCAGGGCCCAACAGCTTTAAGAGCAGTTTCCATGTGGTAGAGATCTTTGCCAACATTCCTTCTCTAGGGTGAAATGCAGGGTGTTGTACTAGAGAACCGTGCTGAAGATACTTAAAACTGCTGCCCTGGACTCCTTTGACTACAAACCCGTGATCTTTTTACATTTTGTAACAAGCTCCAATCTTTTAGTGAAGATTATTTTATGAAAATGAAGTACTTATAAAATCATGCTTTTCATTTTAATGCTTTTCTAGGAGATAAAACTTCTGTTTTTGTTTTGTTTTGTTTTTAATGAAATAGCCCACTAACTAAAACAATGTTTATGCCCTTAATTTTAGGAGGACTAAACCTTTTGTTCTAATTCTATAATTGATGTATAGCCAGAAATGTCCCATTTAATAGTTTTAGCACAGATTATTTCCTAGCTTCATTCTTTAGTATTTTTGTTGCTTTTTTTAAAACTTACATGTAACAAAAATTGAAGTGTGAGAATTAGCTTTCTAAAACAAATTTCATTATAATTTTAGGGTCGATGATCAAAAATACTTTTACTTGCTGACCAAAGGGCACTGCATAAAATTATTCTAATACTAAATTTGATATGAAAAAGTTAAAGTAATATTGTTAATATCATACAAGCATCTTTAAAGGGTCTTTTTAACACTTTACTTTTACTACTTTTTTGGTGCTTTTAGCAATTAAAGTAATGTTTCTTGTTAGGGAAAAATTTAACAAATGTGGATATATATTTTATTAAAATAAAACATGAAGGAATACTAATCTATTCTCTCTTCTAGTCAAAATTGATTTTAAAGCATTTCAAATCAAAACTTAGATAAACTAAGACTTGAATACATGTTTTTATTTGAATATGATTTATTTTAAATTTGGTTGTGGTACTCTGATTTTGACTGAGATAAATTGTTAATTTTATGGCTTTAAGGTATAATAAAAGTTTTACAAATTTTTTAGATTTACTTTTACATAAAACTTTGAAGCCTTTAATATATGTAACAATAAAACAGCAGATACTGATTTGTATTTTGTGACAGCTTAACAGGATATTGAAAATTAAGCTGAGTAGATGTATATTCAGATTTAGAGAACCTTAGAGAATCATGATTTCATTAATGGTACAATTTTTTCATTTTTATTTTTATTAGTACATTTTTTATTTTAAAGAGAATAAAAATAAAAACAATAAAAATAATACAGAATTTCAAAACAAGAGGACAGGAAATTAACAATGCTTGTTGTGTTGCATATTGTTATCTTCAAAGTGTTTGTAGTACATAATGATTACATTCATCTTGGGGAGTCAGTACATTCACATAACTAATGGTACAATTTGATACTTTGTACTTTAGAAAATTATTTTGTAGATTATATTTTATTGTAGTATTAATCTGACACATTGTATCTGTGTTGGTACAATGCAAATTTCAAGCCATGTGGATTTTGCTTTTTGGGTTCTGAAAGTATTAAATGTTTTAAGAGTTTCCCCCAATATTTATTTATTTTTTAAATCAAGAAAGACTCTGACTTTCTGAAAATGAGGAAATCCAACTGGGAGATATGTGCAATTGCTCTGAAGGATAAAGGAACATGGATTTTGTGTTAGGCTGTCAAGACACATCTTCTTACTTGGCTGCTGTGCAGCATGGTGAGGAACTGCCCCAGCATCTCTGTAAGGTCCAGCACACATAGGTCTAACAGTACTACACTCCCTTAGGATGCAGAGCTGGGTGCCACAGTGGGGCAAATTCTACCTCCCTGGGTAGTGGCTCTGGTTGCTTCCCATTCTTTCAACCAGTAGAGCAAGTGTAATTTACGGAGCAATGAGGTTGTCTTCTACATCACACAAAGTGGTCCAGTCCTCACATTGCATGGAAGACAGCACCTCCTAGACTTCCATGGCCAGATGCTCTCTCCTGGCATTCCTTCTTTAGCACAAGGCCACCTGTCCCCCTAACGCATCACTAAGTTCATATCCTGTTGTAGACAGAAGGAGGTTCTGTGTTTGTAAACTCAACTCCACTTTCACAGTGTCTGAAGTAACATTTGTTGCTTTTCTGCTTTTAACTTTGGTGACTTCTAATTGAGAATATTTTATTCACTGAGAAAACACCAACAACAAAGATCACAGGTGAGAACTTCCAGCAATGACCAGGTCACTGCTTACTGTAGTTCATGCAAATGCTAGCACCTTTACTGATATATACGTTGAGACCATAAAATGCAAAAGACCATAGAGTTTGTATTTGTTTTATAAAAATACTACTTATAACATATTTTGTACTCTTTATATTAGAATTTGTAATAGATTAATGTATTTAACTCAATTTCTGAAAAGTAATTCAGTTTCAGTATGATAAAATATTTAGATAAAACATACATTCTATTGGAATTTGAAATAGATAAAAACATCTTGGAGTTTTTGGGAAAAAAAGTTGTGACCAGCAAATACAGTTTTATTATCCATTCATTCAGTAAAAGCTTACGGAGCACCAGCTCTGAGCTAGTACTATAGACAAGTAGATTCTTCCCTTCAGGATCTTTTTTAATCTTTAAGTCACCAGGAAAAGCAGCAAACAAGCAACTAGAATGCAAGTTTGGCTTGCTGCACAAAAACATGCACAGGACTGTCTGGTACCTGGGAGAGGCCACAAATGCTGACTGATTGAGGTCAAGGAGTATGTACTCCTGCTGACTTCTGTATTGAGTAGACAAAGAGGGAAGGCAGCAGTGGAATGTTCCAGGAAAAGTGAATAATTCACTGTGGGGGGTGTGATTGGATAGATAATCTAGAAAATTTGTAACTGGTTGCAAGTGGCTGGAGCTTTTGAGGAAGAAATCACAGAGGTGAATGGGGATGGACCGTAGTAAGAGATGTGACTACAGAGGGGACGAGAGTGTTGCCAGCCAGGACAGCTCATCCAACCTTCATGTTCAGTTTTTCTTGGGGGCTTCATTACAGAGGCACAATGGTGGATTGTTTGCTGTCCATGTGTTTGAACTCAGCTTCATTGTGAACTGATACTGGAAAACCCAAAACCATGGTCTAAATCACATGGTTGGGTTTTCTAAACTATTGGATGTAGCTAATGGTGCACTCAAAAACAGACCTATGTGGAATGACATAACATAATCACCTCCCAGGAGCCAAGGCAAAGCCCAGGCTGCTCTTTGGGCAAAACCAAACTTTCGTTTTCTAACAGTGGGAAAATTTATTGGAGAAAAGGAATGGAGAAGTAGGGAATAGGAATAACTCCTGAGAGACAGGAGAGGTCCGAAATGTGTTGCCCAAGCCATATTTTTATACACAGTTCCCAGTGTAGTATGTTTGATACTGAAGTTGTTTTTCTGTTCTAGGAGGAAGTGTTATATTCTGTACAGGAATAAAAGATAAAAATCACATAATGCTTAAGCGGCACTGTATCCAAAATGAAAGAATTTTGTCTATGGAATTCTTTTAGGTGACCACTTTTTTGTTTTTGTTTTGTCTTTGTTTTTTGGCTGTTTTGAGGCAGGGTTTCACTATGCAGTTCAGGTTGGCCTGAACTCAGTTTGTAGCCCAGGCTGGCCTCGAGCTTACAGCAAGCCTCCTGCCTCAGCCTCCCAAGTGCTAGGTTCACAGATGTGTGCCAACACATCTAGCTAAGTGACCTTTGTAGGTGACCTTGTTGCATTATTTTTGATGTCTTATAGGGGCTTTTATTTTTTTAAAAGTGTCCCATTAGTCTGTGGCTCTTTCTCTTGTTTCTCAGCAGTAAACAAACAAAAATTTTGTTGAATGGAACTGTTTTGCAAATAAGCATTTTCTGGGAATGTTAGGCCCCAGTTCTTTATCTGTTAGATTGGAATTTAGCATCTAGTTACTGCAGAGCAGGAATGGCAAACCTTTTAGAGTCTGAGTGCCCAGACTGCAACCCCCAAACCCATGTATTTTATCACAAAGTGCTAGTACTAAAATTAAAGCTGAATTCTAAGGTTTTAGTTTAAAAAAAAAAAAAAACAACAACTGTTCTTCTATGCTCAGGTGCTGGGGTGACTTGGCTCAAATGTGGACAGAGAAGACTGTGTGCTTGCTGTGGCACACGTGCCATAGGTTCACCACCGCTGCCATATTGTTTTTCAGCTTCCATGCTTGACATTTTGGACCTGATAATTTTTTTTTTCCTTTAGTGCTAGAGATCACCCTCAAGACCTTGGGCATGCTAAGCAGATTGAGCAGATGCTGCAGAGATTGGGCATGCTAAGCAGATTGAGCAGATGCCCCTTCAGGGCAGAATCTGATCATTCTTTGTTGGGTAGGTGATCATCTCCTCTACTCTCTAAATACCAGTAGCAGCAAGTCCAGTTGAAAACACTGAAAAATCTCCAGACGCTGCCCAGTGTCAGAAGTGTGGTGACAAGATGCCCCTGCTGAGTTGCTACACACTTAAACTCTTTTAAATCTAACTGGCTAGGATTTTATGTCAGTCCTGTCATTTGACTCCATTTCAGAATTCCACGCTTATGCCTGAACACAGTCATTTGTTCAAATGAAAACATAAAGGGTGAATTTAAAAGGAGCTGGCACTTTCCTTATGACAACATAAGGAAGAGTTCATGGTTGAAGTGTGCCTTATTTGTGAATTTAGTTTTTCTTTGTAGTGCATAAATCTCTGCACAGTGAATTTATAACCTAAACATGTAAAGTGGTGAGAGATGTGTTCATGATGTGATATTTATAACTAGGCCAAGTTATAACAAGGCATAGTTCATAACTAGGCATAGTGATAGTTAATGAGGAAATTGGAGAATATAAAGAACATTGGATGTTTAGATATTATGATTTAACTTCATTTCCAGCTGTTCTTATAATTTCCAGGATTTATTGGAAAAATTGGCTTTGGAATCTGAAAGCCAGGGTTTTAGTTTGAGTCATCCTTGTGGACAGATGAATTCTTTACTACCACAACAAAAAAGTACATAGAAGAGACAAGTTTATTGCTTCTACTTTCTTTTTTTCCCTTGCCTGTGGAGCTGGTTGAGTGTCACGTGATATGCTTACATCTGTATTTTAGTTTCGTGTCCCCAAAGTTGAATGAGCCTAAAATGAAGATGTATGTGTAGTGTTTCAGGTAAGATTTAAACACAAGCTAGACATTCTCATCCAGTATTACTTGGAGCAAATTTAGAAAGCAGCCTTCATTTTTATTTCCTTTCTAAAAGCTAAATATATGTTTGTGATGCATTCATATTTATTGACTAACCTTAGATTTAGGGTATAATTTGGATCTGTGTTACTAGTCACAGTTTAGTCTACTAACATAACAGTACTTTGCAGTATAATGAGAATGAAAAAAATTGTAGATGAATTGTTATGTTTTTCTTTCCTGTTACAAATATTAAATCAACTGGTATAGTCTGTAGTTCTGTACAGGTAACTATGCCATCTTGATGCAGCAGTTGATGAAACTATCCTTCAGTTTCTTCCAGGGAAAGCATTGAAGTTTTTGTTTCCTTTTTGTTTGAGAAATATTTGGCATGGGTTTGAATTCCCTGGGGTATTTTCAAATAACAAAAAATAGTTGTTATCTTGCATCCTGATCATGCATTGAGGGGCCGGTGTTAACAGCTCGGTGGCACAGCACCTGCCTGGCAAGTACAGGCTCGTGAGTTCAATTCCCAGTACCAAAAAACAAAAACAAAAACAAAACTAATCGTGCCTTGAGCTGGAGGGTGTTTTGTGATGCATTTACTTATACACCTATGGAGGGAGGAGCCAGAACAGAGTTGAGGTGTTCTTCCTAGTGGAAGTTAGACCGCACTGTAGGGACAGAGGAGCAGATATGAGAGGTGGTGAGGCATGGGAAAGATGCTACAGAAAGCCAGACTCTCTAGCAGTCTGGCTTTGTTTGTTGTGGGGTATATGACTTAAATATTCTAATGAAATCCTTAGCAGAGCCTCTGTTCCTCGCCAACCTTTTGTATAAGTAGAACTTTGGAAAGAACTTAGGCCAGCTTAGTCCACTGTGTGTGCCCTCGGGAGAGGAGAGCAAGTGCATGCAGCCTGAGTGTGCAGCACCAGCACCTGTGGGCAGTGGGGCCAAACATGCTGAGCAGGGGTCATTGTTTACTGAGTACCTGAAGCTGGCTTGGACAGCACTCTCACTCTCTTCCTGTAAGAGAGAGTGTAAGAAAAGGAGGCTCAGAAAAGCTAACTAGCTTAGTCAGACTCCAAGCTTAGAAGTGCAAAGTTAGACTTCTTACATGGATCTGATATCAAATTCCTTGTTTTGAATTGCTAAATTGTGAAATTTTATTCTCTGCTGAGGATGTTTTTTGAAACTTAAAATGTACTTTCTTTTAACAGTTTAGGAGGGGTAAATAGAAGTCCCAGAATTCTGAAAATTGGAAGATTTTTACTTTTTGATATGTATAAGAATTTAAATAAGTAATTACTATTTCTTTATATTAATCTCAGCCAGGAGCATTTCTCTCCATTTCTGGTGCTTAGTGTTTAGTTCCTAAAACATATGCTTTCAGCTATTTTACCAGTCCCTGGCCAGAATAACCATCCTGATGTCCTTGTTTGCATGGTTTTGTGTAGTTGCCAACAGTTCAGAATTTTATTCCTTCTCTGTGTTAGAGTAAGTGATTTGTTCTTGTTTTCTTCGCTTTTTCCCCCTCCCTCTCTCTGTTCTTTCTTTCTTTCTTTCTTTCTTTCTTTCTTTCTTTCTTTCTTTCTTTCTTTCTCTCTCTCTCTTGCTCTCTCTTGCTCTCTCTTGCTCTCTCTTGCTCTCTTTCTCTCTCTTTCTCTCTTTCTCTTTCTCTCTCTCTTTCTCTTTCTCTCTCTTTCTCTCTCTTTCTCTCTCTCTCTGTCTCTCTCTCTCTCTCTCTCTCTCTCTGTCTCTCTCTCTCTCTCTCTGTCTCTCTCTCTGTCTTTCTCTCACAGGATCTCACTATGTTCTCCAGACTAGATATGAACTCACTATGTAGCCCAGACTGGCCTTGACCTTAAGATCCTCCTACCTCAGCCTCCTGAGTGCTAGGTCTACATGCATATGCCACTATACCATCTGATCTTGTTTTGGTTGTTGTTAAACTAAATTTTTAAAATACCTGCTTTCTTGAGCTAATCCACATTCAATACATGCTGCCATTTTAAAAATGTATAATTGTTTTTAGTATTTTCAGACTTTTATACAGCCATCATCACAATCATTTCAGAAACCTTCATCAACCCTAAAAGAAACACTGCACCTATTAGCACTCATTCTGCATTTCTCCCCATCTCCTATCTCTATGCCTTAGACAGTCAATAATCTTTTTGTCTCCACAAATTTTTTTTTCTGGACATTTCATATAAATAATATTGCACAATATGTGTTCTCCTATGACTAACTTCTTTCACTAAGCATGATGTTATCAAAGTTCATCCAAGCTATAGTATATGTCATTGCTTCTTCACTTTTTGTAGCAGAATAATTTTCCCTTTGTGGATAAGCTACACTGTGTTAACCATTCTTTACTGATGAGCATTTGGGTGGCTTCCTCATTTAGATAATGCAGCTGTGGACATTCATGTACAAATTTTTGTGTGAATATATGTTCATTTCTCTTACATTATATACCTGAAAGTAGAACTGCTGACTCTAGTAGAATACAGGACTCTAGTTTTTGAAGAACTACCTTTCTGAACCAACTGTACTATTTTAAACTCATCAGTTAGCGTCAAGAAAGGGAGTTGGGCTTTAACATCTTTTAATCTCTATTAAAAGTGTACTGTATCTATATCACTAGCATTTCACACTTACTTTTACTATCATACTTACATCTTATGGCATCACAGTTGCATATTGTGTTCTCTTTTCCTTTTTGAGTCCAGGTCTCACTGTGTATGACAGGCTGGCCTTGAATTCATGACCCTCCTACCTCCGCCTTCCCAGTGCTGGGATTATAACCATGCACCAACATGCCTGGATTGTAATTCATTCCTGGATCTCTCATTGCTAAGCCTGATATATCAAATGAGTTGATGATGTTGAATTAATGAATGGAGTTTTGTTCATGTTCATTCTGATTTGTCAAGGTTGTCCCAGTGGTTAGATGAGTATTCTGCTCCTTGTAATGCTAATAACCTGCTTAGAGATATAATATAGTTTTACCTGTCTGGTTTTTGCATATTGTCTGAATCGTTAACCTGTGTTTTAGATTTCCTGTGTAGGCAACCTCAGATTTGTGCTTATTCCTCAGCTGAGGAATTCTATGAAATAGTATGGTAAGTCAAAAGAGTTTATCACGATGTTTAGAGTCTCCATTATATGGTGTACTTAAATGACATTCAAATGATAGATCAAAGAATATAAATGAGTTTTAAGGTTTTAGACAAAAATGTTAAAACCTGTCTGTCCTTCAGATTTTAAATGAATTATATTCAGCCTCAGCACTATGTAAAAAACCACTAACTGATAAGCATATGTATTTCTAATGTATTCTGCTAGGAAGACAGAAGGGTTCAATAATATTTAAAGAACTTTATTTTCTTAAGATTAACTTAACCTTGTGAACAAAGCAGGTATTTATTAGCAAAGCTGCATGTAACCAAAACAGAGGCCTTTCTCTAGTTTACTGTAAAAACATTTATCCCAATTAAAGTGAAACACAGTAAAGATTTATTTTGAGAAGTTGCTGAAATTTGCTAAAAGACAGACTATACTAAAATAGTCTGATGATTTTTAGTTACCAAATTTAGAGTTTCTGCTTCGGTGCTCTGAGAGAAGAGTACAACAGTTGCTTTCATTAATCTGTCTGCCCTGGATTTATAGTGTGGTGGTCTCTTGAAAATTAAAGCTATCATTCTGTGCTCTAAGTGCTGAACCAGTGGAATGGACGCCATAGTGAGACAATCACAAAAAAAGTGTGCAAGCTTTTATGGAGACAGTTAAAGAAAATAGTCTTAAACGACTTTCCTTGTACTTCCTTCATCACTTTTAGAAACATTACTCTTACTAGAAGTGACACTTTTTCAGTGACACTTTTTTTCAGCATGGTAATATTTCTAGGATTCAAAAGAAGCCATTAAAATTTAGGGTTTTTGTTTCCACTTGTTATTCTAGTTTATATTTCTAAACATTTATATCATTTTGAGTAAGTTCTAATCCTATGTAATGATGTAATTGCCTCCAGTAATTTAAATGCAATACTAATACATAACTCTAAATATATTACCTTGAGCAATGTATATTTAGATTTATATTGAGTAATAAGGTTTTATAAAGTCACAAATGTATACCTATATAATTTCTTGCCATTCTTGAACTTCATAGTAATGAGGGTCCAAGTGTTCTTCTGGCCCTTCTTGTTCTTGGCTCACATGTATGTTGTCATGATTATCATGATCCTCCTCCTCCTCCTCCTCATCATCATCTTGAAATCTTCCAAAAACTTGGGTCTTCAGTTGTATTGTTTGACCATTAGTGCTTCTTTGTTCACCATAATAAATACTGTGTATATGAGGGAAGCAGAAGAAGATATATGAACTAATTGGCTCTTTTAGCTTATTTTGGTCCACACGAAGATATGTTAAATGGTGCTGCTGTAGTGGGTCAACAAAGGGACACATCATTGTCACATTGATGTCTGAAAAATACAAATTAAAAATTAATCCTGCCTTATAGCCATAATTCTATGTTGAGTTTTATGTTTTATGGGATATAATTTCATTAAAATTCTTACAGGTGGAATTAAGTTCAATTTTTAAAACTAATCAAATAATAAAATGAAGGAAATAAGACTATAAATAAGTTTTATATTACCAAAATTTATTTGGCTTCATTGGCTTTTCCGATTCCTTTTTGTTTGGTACCCGGAATCAAACTCAGGACCTTGTGCTTGCCAGGCAGGCGCTGTGCCACTGAGCTATATCCCTGACCCTTTTCTTATTACTTAAATAATATATTTTTGATAGAAACAAGCTAAAATAAAAGCCATCTACAGTCCCACTACTGAGGATATTCATATTTCTTCACATATTCTATAGTGCTATTTCTCAATATTCAAAATAATTTAATCAATAAGTCTATAAAACTAATGGCATACTATTTTGTGTGAGTGATTTCTGCCATTATCTTAGCCAACTTCAAAACAGCCCTTTTCAGCAATATGTGAATCATAAATTCTTAAATATTTGTCCTTTTGTTTTGTTGTTTGTTGTTTTTTGTTTTTTTTTTCCTGGTACTGGGAATCAAACTCATGACCTCGCGCTTGCCAGGCAGGCACTGTGCCGCGAAGCTAAATCCCCAGCCCCTAAAGATTTGTTCTTAAAGAGTTGAAATGAGATTCTTTTGCTCTGTGAAGAATAATAAAATTTTACATACTTTCTATTTCATTATTTTCTAGGTATAGGTGTTCCAAATTTCTTGGGATGTAGAATGCTTGCTTCAATTTGTTGTGTCCAACGTTGAGCTCTATAAGGTTGGAAAGATTAAAAATATTATATGGAATATCTTGCAGATTGTTGTGTGACATCCTTAGAGCATGAAGTTTTGGAAGTTTGTCAAAGTATTTCTCTGGTATAGAAGAAATAGAATTATTTTCTAAAGATAGATACATAAGTGAAGAAGGCAATCCAGGAGGCATTGATTCCAATCTGTTACTACATAGGTTGAGCTGCATCAATTTTTCCATTTTGGCAAGGTGTTTTTCTTTTAACATAGAATCATGAAGATGATTATAACAGAGATCAAGCATAGTCAAGTTTACTAGTTCATCCATGGCATTTGTGTGCAGTGTGGAAATTTCATTGTAACCAAGAAGGAGTCTTTCCAGAGATTTAGGAAGAGGAAATGGAAATTCTTCTAAATTGTTATGCTCAAGGTGAAGTTGTAGTAGATTTGAAAATTTAGCAAACACACCATAGTCAATCTTTTGAGATTTAATTTTGTTGTGACTGAGGTTAATTTCTTTAAGATTAGTTGCATTGGTGAATGAACTTGCTGTCACAGCCTCAATTTCATTGAACTGAAGGTAGAGTTGCTGAATATGCACTGGAATATTTGGGATTGTCTTGAGTTTGCGATTGTCACAATACATTGATGACGGAAAGTTAGTTGGACAGAAGCATTCGCTGGCACAGCCTAAAATACGCTGATAAGGAATTCCATATTCTACATTTGGATGAAATTGGAATTGTGGTTCATAATCTTCATTTGGCTCTGGGTCGTAATCTTCATCCCACTGATAAATTTCATATTGACAATATACCTTAACTCCAAAGAAGAAGAAAAAGACAGATACTGTACTTGAAAAGCTCATGTTCTTTTTTGTCCTATTGCAAGGAAAAAAGGAAATATATTGTCGGATATGTGAATAAAACTCAGACAAATTGTCATGTAAATTGACAGTTATGTGAAATGTATTATACCTACATCTGTATATTAAAAATGTCTAGGAAGAATGAGCAATACTCAAACCAAAATTAATGTTTTAGCACCAACGAAGTAGAATTTTTAAAAAGTCACATACTGTATTGAACCAGAGTCAGAAGTCTGGTATTCTAGACTTTTTACTAAGCTCCTTTTATGTTCTTTTACTAAGTTTCCAGTTGTCCTGCTTACAAGAGTGTAGATTTATGGTGATAGCATGACATCATTCAACTACGGTCTGGGGCTTTCTCCACTGTAAGTGTTGTTCTTGCCAACTAGTCTATCCATTAGGAAAGGTTACTGCCTATAGAAAGACAGACTTTTATTTCAGTTGGAGAGCTTTTGCCTATTAGAGTCTTGGTATTAAACCAAAATCCTCTTCTCACAACTTTTATTCCTGGTACCCCTTTCTGCCCTTTGAAAAGAACATGAAATACTACCTTCTATGTGATGACTTGGGATATTTTAAAATAGGTGTTTTCTCTTAGTATTTTTTGTCCTATCCTACTTACATTTTCAAATTTTCCTCATGAAAGTTTCCAGAATCTATTTTGTTTGTAACTTTGCTTGAATAGCTTCTTCAAATCCCAAGACACACAATATGTATATCCTACAAAGTTTTAGTTTCTAATAGATTGACATTTACATTTTTTTACTTTTTTCTGCTAATGTTTTTGAGTTAAGGTCTAGATATACAAATTCTAAAAACATGCAGTCTCTGTCTTCTAGGATCTTAAAGTTTAGAGAAAAAGAGAGATATAGAGCGTAGGACAGCATCAGGACATTATATAAATGCCGCACACTTAACTGATTGTGCTGCTGGAGCACCTACGGCAATGGGACATTATGTGGAGTTGGTTAGTAAGGCTGAGGGCTTCAGAGGCATTTTAACACTTGCTTGGGCCTTGTCTGCTTATCTTGTATTGACCTTCTATCTTATATCTTCATGCTTATCTTACCTAGTAGTTGTTAGGATTATATGAAATATGCCTGTAAAAGTACTTTGTAAATTGAAAACTTGTATCCAAATGAAATACATATATTTATGAGAGGGGTTAAGAAAAATATCATACCCCCTTTATTCTGAGGCCTTTTTTCTCTATTTTCCTTATCCAGGATATAAGGAATAAATGACCTAGTGCAGTATTGTATGTCAGGAAATGACCTATCTCCTGTTCATCTAGAATGGTACTCTCTCCCCCACCCCATCCCTCGTACTGTTTTTTTTGTCACTGGTGTAATGAGAAAATACCTTTCTCTGGTAGAACCCTGTGTGAGAAATATTTGCATTTTTCATTTCTTGTCAGAAACAAAAAATACATTGAATACAAATGTAGTGTATGTTTAAATTTTAAAGACCCTTGATGCCTTTTTCTTCCATTATTTTGTCCTCCATTCTTACCACATACCCATATCCTAGGCTTGGTTTGACCAGAAGAGCAACCCTTCATCTTCCGAACTTTGAGAATCCCACATTCTCACTCTCAGTCACTTCACATAGTCACTCCAACTCCGAAAATTTTCTAATTTCAGTGACACCTAATAAATATCCTACTTTTTTCTTTTTCATTGTCCCTTATGCATACTTCCCAGTATCATTTTTGCCAATTTAGCTCCCACAGTTTATTACTGTCATTACTCCTACTGCCCCTCAATGTTCTAGCCCATCACATCTGACAAATTCCAATGTTCCCTACTCCAGTACCTCACATTCTCTCAGTCTGACTCACACAGCTGAATATGAATAGAGAAATACGAGTAAGCGACCAAGCAGAGCAGTCTTAATTCTCCACCACAACCTCCAGTGGTGCATGGCTGTTCTCCTTAGTTTGTCCCCTTTTACTCCCTCCTAGACTATTCTTTTTCATTTCTTCCTCAACCCTCTGAAACCTTATTCCTATTATTTATGGATGATACCTTGCTTCCTTTTTTTAATCAAGAAAATAGGATAAAGTATTTCAACATATTTATCCTTATCTATAAGAAAATGGCAAAATAGTAATGATTTGATCTGAATACTAAATGATTTTGGAACTCATGAAGTTTCTTTTTCTCAGCAAATCTGAGTATATTATATCTATTTTTCTTTCTTTTCCATATGATTCATAGAGGTCATAGTATTGACTTAAACTTTGGAAGAATGTTAGGATTCTTGTAGAACAAAGTGAAGATTATTTCCAAGTAGATGAGATAAGTAACAACAGGGAAGCCACAAACTGTGAAGTGTTTGAGAAATGGTGATTAACTGTTGAAAAAAGCAAAATAAGATTACTATAACCCAAATCTAACCCAAATCTAGCACCTAAATTCTGACCAAAAGACTTCATACTGTGGGAATGAATGCTTAATTTAATAAATGAATATATCTGAGCCATGATCTTTATACTAGAGTGTTCATGAGTAAAGCAGGAGAGAATTTTGAGAAAAAGTGGAGAGAATGTGTTATCATTTCATCTCAAAGGACACTGTTCAGAGTAAGCCAGCTCTTTGTGCTAGGCTGAAAGCTCCTCTTGTGTCTGCCTGGGCTTACTCTCGTTTTCCTGTATAATTATTCTAGTAGGTACTGTATGCAGTGTGCTTAGTAAATCACTTTACAAATACTAGTAATTTGGATTACTTCAGGTTGCAGTTGTCTTGAATTCTTTCTTTCTTTTTTGAGGGGGACAGGGTCTCACTGTGTAGTTCAGGCTACCCTTGAATTCACTATATAGCCCAGACTGGCCTCAAATTCACAACAATCCTCCTGCCTCAGTCTCCCAAATGCTGGGATTAGAAGTGTGCACTACCGTACCTGGTGTCTTGAATTATTTCTGAGGTACTGTGCTAAATTGGGAGAGAACACAGAAATGAAGAGGACATGAAGACATGTTCCCCCTTACATAGAACAAAAGTTCAGAGGTGAGAAAGACATCTTAAGAAGAACCGCTAAGAGTAAATGGTACGGTTTATAGCAGAGACAGGCCATTCTGTGGAGCTCAGTAGCTTGACCTTGCTTGGATTGACTTGGAGTTGTTTTGTAGACAAAATTTGATCCAAACTTTGGGAGATGGGCAGAAATATGGAAAATCCTATATACATCTTACTGACTTGCTATTTTATGTATAATTTCATAGGATTTTGTTGTACTAATTATAGTATAGCACATGAACTTTTTGAGCACTTGTTTCATTCCCATTAGAGCCACTGGAGTTGTGTGCTACCAAGCTCCTTCCCAAAAGACAGGTTACAGCTGAGACACTGAGATGTGCCCCAGCACTGGGCCAGGCCACTTAGGCTGACTGTCACATAGATAAACTTTGCAAACAGCATTGCTCATGGACACTGAGTCTGAATGTTTCTATTCTTGTGTCTAGAACATGAGCAATCATGAGAAATTTTTGAGACAAAAAGGATATTGGGATGATATCTTTGATCCCTAATTACATATTTTTTTCTTAGACTCAAAACCTCATAACTAGGTCCTCTCTGGAAATAAAGGGGTTTTCATGTTGTCTGCCTTTGGCCTTCATGAAAAGAAGAAAGACTTTCCTTAAATGACACACAAGTTTAAATATCACATGGTGTCTCTAATATAAGAAACCCAAATGATGAAGAGCAAAATAAAAGATAGACCATAGGAAGCAGGGAGATAACATCTTTCTCAGATGGGAAGCAGATCAAGAGATGGAGGGGTGGGAGGAAAGGGGTTAAAAAAAGGAGTCATGTACATGTACCAGCTCCACACAAGGAATGTAAGCATTATGTAAGGCAAACATATGCTATTAAAAAGAAAAATTTTTAAAAAAGAATAAAAGCTTTCCATGAAGACCAGTTTCTTTTCTAAATTTGATTCATTTCAAACATGCCTTCCATGTCTGTAACCCTGTAGTGCCACCTTGTCCTTGCTTTTGACTAAGTGCAGTTTTTTAGTCTGAAATCCATCCTGTTTCCGTCCATTTCCTATTTACTATTCCCCTCCCTTTTTCCCATGATAATTTTCTCTGAAACCATGATCTTCTTTTTACCCAAGTAATCTCTTCTCAGCCATTTGCTAGCATATTTTTGTCACTTCTGCTTTTCGTATTCTGCAATCTATGCCTTAGTCCCTTTTGGACATCTCACAGCAAAACAGCATGACTTGCTGTCAATCACTTCCTGATCTCTGGTTTTTAACAGAGTACAGGACAGTGTACACTAATGATTTATGAATGATTGAATTAATAAGTTACAGATTACATCTTGTTAGAAATTCTTTACTAATTTTGATTATTTCTGGGCATTTATTTCACCATGGTAATTTATTTAAATAAAGAGAATTTGACTATCTCTTTTTTATGGAATATTTCTCTATAACAGTATAGTTTATTCTTCACTTTCCCATTGTCTACTAGGAAAACCACAGATGTGAAAAAAAACTTTAAGTAAAATAAAATATACATTACCAGTTTTGAAAAATTACCCATTAATGTGAATTTTTCATATTATATGATACAATAAAGGTTTCTATGTTCTAACATTTCCATTACTTAGAAGAAAACACTCATGCTTTTAAGATAGGTTGTAATGAAAATTATTAATAAAAATGAGGTATAAATTATTTGGTTTGGAATATTTATAAAGTAAAAGTAACGTTATTTTAAGAATGTAGTTGTTTTATTGGTGTGCTATATAAACTAGTTTGTAAGAAACAAAATATTAGTATATGTTTTAGGTTTTATGTAAAACAATTTTAAATTTAACTCTGCAAGATCTGTTGCTATTAAAAATATGTGTCTACATTATTTTTATCCATACTGTACGTACATTGTTTTTAACTTAAACCCAAGTAACTAGATCTTTCAACGGACTGGATAAAGCATTCATACTTTCCTTTTGAAAAGAGGTAAATGAAAACAAAAACATTCTATACCAGGGATTTAGTCAAGAGAAATTTTGAGCTTTTCAGTGAAATTTGTACAAATTTCTGTCTTCCCTACAACCTGACTCAGCACTGCTCAAATTATTGAGACAAAGAGACCCAAGAAAGAAAGAGATCAATTCTAAAACCCAAAAATCTTTCCCTTCATTCAAAATTTAAAAATAAAAACAATTAAACTAAAATGTTTTGTTGGATAATCTTAAATTACAAACTTAAATGTTCTTTAAAAATTGAAAATTACGTTATCATACCTGTTGAATTTGCTTTAGTTTTCAGGGTTGATGAATTTGCAAATCCTTTAAATGAATCAGAAATTCCTAAACTCTTTAACTGAGTCTCTTAAAGATCCACAGTAACTCTGTGTCCAGACAGGGCTGTCCCTTGAATTCCTGTAGCAATTTAAGCAAATACAATCTGGTTGGAAAACACTTCGCTTGAATTAAAATTATGTATTTCTTTTCATTATACAAAACTGGGTGGATTCAAATTAAAATGTTTGTGTTCTTGGTCAGATTTATGTGGCTTACTTCTTTCTTTTCCCCTTAATTTTGGTTTGAGGTGTGGCAAGAATTTCCTCTAATATGAAAGGAAAACTGAACTAAAGGAAACAGCATGTACTGATTACTGTTTTTATTTTCATTTTTATGCCAAAGAATTCTTCAAATTAAGGTCCACTGAGACACTGTGCCCAGTGTCTCAGCAATTTAAGGTGGAACTCAGAATTATCTTCAGTCCTGGTTGTTTAGCACCTATGTTTACATGAGCTTCCCGTTGTTAAAGCAGGGAATCAGAATTGGAAACCTAAAGCATTTCACATCCAGTTTATTTTTAAAATGCAATAGGTTATCACTGGTTTCACAGATTAAAGATACTTTTCCATAAACAGGCGTATACCTTCTTTTCCGTCAGCTATCCTCTTTCTCACCTTGTTCCCAAATACTGTATACCCATTAGATGTTTACTAAGGACCATTAAAATAAAAAGATTACCTCTGAAAGTCTGTCTCCAATTTGTTTGTTTTAATAGTATACAAAGTAATTTTATAGTATTGAATAAGATGGTTTGCACAATAACTGTTATCTTTATTTTGCACATTTGGAAAATTTCATTTTACCAAATTGTCTCTTTTTAGGTAACAGCTAGTTAGCTTGCTTAAATGCTAAATTTTTGTGCTCATGTTTTCACATTTAAACTGAGTTAATTTTTGTTTCTTGGCAGTAGATATTGAGTTCATTTTGGGGGAGATTCTTTCAAGCTTAAGCACATAAGGTAAAATAAACCCTGGAGTTCAATTTTGGTTCTTCAAATAGTGCATTCCACCAGGACTTTACAAAGAACTCACAAGATTTATTTTATTATACTTCATATTTAAGAAAAATATATAGTGTTTCGAGTGATGCTTTGGTAATATTGTAAAAATCTAGTCTATCATTTGAGACATTGGTATGTAAAACGTGGCAGACACATTTGGGCCAAGATTCCATTTTGTTAACTGATCTTTTCCATGTGTTTCCTATTAATGTCTTTGTTCTTAAACCTCAAGCTTTCAGACTGAGGAAAAGGGAGCAAATCTGTGTACTTTTTCCAAACTTGCTGTATATTCCTTCACAGTTCTTTTAGAAGATTAATTTAAAATCGACCACTTAATTTTTATGTGATTCTTCATTAACTGTGTGACTTGAACTTATGATAGTAATTATGTTGTTCATGTTCCCAGCAAATGTGAAAAAGAGATTTAAATTGGCAATGATGTTAGCAATGGGAGGAGGTAGTGGTTAAGGTCAGACTTTCAAGCAAAATAGGAACTATTGTGATCACTGATTTAATTAGGTAGAGCTTTTGGTTGTTGTTCTACTTTTTAAGTACTGAGGATTGAATCCAGGGCCTAGTGTATGGTAGGCAGGTAAGTTTTCTACCACTAAGCTACATCCTCAGCCCCCCTCCTTTCTTTAAATTTTGAGATGAATTCCCATTCTGCCTCCCAGGTAGCTGGGTACAGGTACAGTTTTAATTGTAGCAAAATTCAGTTGAGTTCTGAAAAGCCTATGATTAATAGATACAGTATCTCAAGGCTGAATGACATGGTGCTGGCTAAGAAAGGCCCTCCTAAGGCATGCTTAATTAATGTACTAAGTGTAACAAGTTTTTACTCATTTGTTCACTCATTCAGCTTTTTTATTAAGTGCTTACTTTGTGTAAGGCATTATGCAAATGTCCTTTGTATGAGGACTCAGCAGTAAAAATCTTGTCCTAGAGAAGGAAAATAGAAAATAAACATTTATCAAATGGTGCAGAGGGTAATGGAAAAGCAAGATAGAGGGATAAAAATGAATGAGATAGAAGAGGAAGGGTTAACAGTTCTGTTATTGCTGTGCGACCTGGAATGGAACAATTTCTTTACTGTGTAGCAGATGGTAGGAGCCGGGTATCTCACTAGTGAGGGGGATGGTTACAGATAAGCAAGGGCAGGTGGTGAGCCTGATCCGTGTGGTGATGGATTTGAGTTGGATGGCCAGTATGACCAATAACCACTCCAACTGTTCTACCTCCCTTCCATTTTCTGTGCTTTTCAGTATGTACTTCACTTTCTCTGGCTGTACATAGAATCTTCCTTGGGTTTTGGTGGCACATTCTCAACAGTTTTCAGCCCAGACTGCTGCCGAATTCTAGAATCATGAATGAAGCCAGTGAAGATCTTTAAAACTAGATGTGTTGTAATTTCTCTTTGTACAAGCAGAAGAAGCTAATATGTATAATTTCACTTAAAATGGAAAAATAGGCAAAATTAATTGATGGCAAAGGATGCTATAAAATAAGTATCCTTAGATCCAGGGTAGTGAGTATGGGTAGAGAAGAGCTGTGGAAGAGCCTTCTGGGGTGACAAATTAGAGATGGTAATCTGCTTTGAACAATGGTCCTGGGACAACTGGCTGTCCAAGTCCTGTTATATGCAAATTTATCTCCAGAGGAAACAAAAAGCTAATTGTAAGAGCAGAAGCATAAATATTCATGAGTTTGAATTAGGCAGCACTTTCATGGATGTGATGACAAAAGTATAAGCAGAAGAAGAAAAAATAAATTAGACATCACCAACATCAAAACCTTTCATGTATCGAAGAACATTAGCAAGAAAGTTAAAAAAAAAAAAAAAAGCCACAGAATGGGAGAAGAAAAACAAATTATATGTCTAATAAGGGAATTGTGTTTAGAATTCTTACAACTCAATAATTTAAAAAAAAAAAAACAAAAAAACTTCAATTTGAAAATAGGTGAAAATCCAAACAGACATTTCCACAGAGAAATGACCAAACAAGAAAACCTCACTAGTAATCAGGGAAATGCAAATGAAAACCACAATGAGGTACCACTTCACACTCTCCAGGATAACCATAAAAACAGAAACAAAAAGGCTAGGAATGTAGCTCAGTGGCAGAACATGTACTTAGCATGATTTCCAGTGCCCCAAAAAGATTGGGGTGGGGGTTGGACAATAACAATTATTGGTTAAGAATGGGGAGAAATTGGAATCTGCATGCAGTAATTTGCTTACTGGAATATAAAATGGCGCAAGGCCTAAGGAAGACAGACTGGCACCTCCTCAAGTGAATAGTTGTCCTTCGATTTTGCGTTTACACTTCTAGATATATACCCAAAAGAACTGAAAACATAGGTACACTTAGAAATGTGTACACAGGTGTTCATAGCAGTGTTATTCCTAGCATCACCAAATAGAGACAACTCAAGTAGCCACCAACTAGCATAGATAAATAAATGTGTTCCATCCGTTCAGTGAAATATCATACGGCAATGGAAAGCAGCGAACTGCTGGCACTCTTAAGGACGAACCCTGAAAACATGCTAGAAGAAGCCAGTCTCTCAAAACAGCCAGTCACTCAAAACCACCTATTATAATTCCATTCATGTAAAATGTCCAGAGTAGGGAAGTCTGTAGAGAGTAGATTTGCCAGAAGTAAACAGGGAGGCACTTTTGATGAGTATGTGCTTTATTTTTGTGGTGGTGAATTTTTTCTAAAATTGATGATAGTGATGTTTGTAGAACTCTGAAAGTATTAAAGACTATTGAATTGTATACTATTCGTGCTTGAATTATATAGTATGTGAATCATATCTCAATAAAACTTATTAAAAATAACAGTAGAATCAGGTGTGGTGGCACATAGCTGTATTCTCAACTACTTGGGAGGTTGAAAAAGGAGAACTGCCATTTTGAGTCCAGCCTGGGCGACTTAGTGAGATCCTGTCTCAGAAAGAAAAAGAAAAGGTTGGGGATGTAGCTCAGCCACTCCAGAGTTCAGTTCCCCAGTACACAAACTAATAAATATAAAAATAAAGAATAGGTCTGGGAGGATCAAAATGATTAGTTATGATTTTAAAATTTTTGAAACTTAGAAGTAGATGAAAGTTTGTTTTGTCTACCTTTGCTTCTGTTATAAATTCTCCTCAGTACAAAGATAAAGAAGAAGTCTCTAGCATTCAAACTGCAAGTCTCCATCTCTGGTTATCCCGGCTGACAGAGGCAGCAAGTGGCGTATGTGTGGGTTCCTTGGACTGACCATGAGCTGTCCCTGTGTTTCTGTTTCTTCAGACCCTCTGCCGCCTCTTCCCCTGTGTATGGCTCATTTCAAAGCAGCTCTTTTCCATTTTTTTATTTTGCCGAGAGAGCTATTACTGCTGTTATGTTTTCCTTGGATAGCCCTGGTCAGAGGCGATTGGGAAGGAGAATCCATTTCAGAGCTCCCTAGAGCCTTTGATTAAAAAAAAAAAAAAAGGAAAAAGAAAAAAGAGAAAAAACCCGTAATAAAGGCCTCACTAACAGAGCAAAAGCACCTTGGGGGAAAAATACCATCTGCCCAGTATCCTTGTAATATAGAGGGTAGCTGTGCATCTGCGTACGTAAGTGTGGTTTGTAGCAGGGCTGAAGGATGAGGGGAGCTGCTCAAATGAAGGAAGATTTATAGGCTAAAAACATACTGTGTTCTTAGGATGAAGATAGAAGTTTCTTCCTTTCCCTTCAGTGGTTTCATTCAAAAACCTATGAGGTATGCTTGAGAGGTATGGTAAATACTTAGTTTCTAAAAATTTATTACAAGTGGGTGTCGTGATGCCCGCTTGTAATCCCAGCACTTGGGAGGCTGAAGCAGGAAGATCACAAGTTCAAGGCCAGCCTGCAATATATAGACACTGACTCAAAAAACCAAAAAAGAAATGAAAAAAAAAATTTATTACAGTGAAAGACACATTACCATTAATCCCCCTCAGAATATTCCCTCTTGCTGTGAACATACTTATCCATCATACTTGCCATGTTCTGAACAGTTCTGAGAGTCCTCTTCCATGAATGTCTCTAGTTGCACTGTTGTGACTGCCTCAGTGTCCTGAAACAATTCAGAATGTTTAGTCAGAGGTCACACTTTGCCAGATGGGGTGAATGAGGAGGCACTTTCGTGTTTTTCACTCCTCCCTTTCCGTTGGATGGTACTCAGCGGCAGCATTCACTGTATTTTGATCATACTTTATAAAGACACAAAACAGGAATTCTAGAAATGCTTCAGAAAGTGGCAAGAATTATGAGATAACTGAAACAAGAAGATTGATTATGATGTCTTTTACTGAAATAACCTTTACTTTAAACATTCACTATATATTTCTATCATACCTCATACAGAGTCATGGCAGTGCTTTTTTTTTGTCTTCTTGAGACAGGATCTCACTATGTAGTTCAGGCTGGTCTTGAACTCACTCTGTAGCCCAGGCTGGCCTCTAACTTGCAAGGATCCTCCTGCCTTAGCCTCCCGAGTGCTAGGATTACAGGTATGCGCTACCATACCTGGCCAGGCAGTACTAACATTTGACAAAGGGGAGAAATGACCAGAATATAGTCATCGCATCCAAAAATGCCTAAAATTCTCTGGTGAATGTGAAAGAAATAAGATAAATTGTGGCAAGTATAAAATAAAAGCATGATCAAAATGCTGGGATATTCTAGGGGTTGAGGGAAGAGTCTGCATGTTTGTGGGAGAATTGGGAAGCTGAGCTGAGATGGCTGGTTTTGCCACGGCATTTGTGGTTGGGTAAGATTTTGATAGACATGGCAGGTGTGGTGGTACACATCTGTAACCCTAGCACTCAGGAGGCTGAGGCATGAGAATCGCTGTGAGTTCAAGGCCAGCCTGGGCTGCAAAGTAAATTCAAGGCCAACCTGAACTGCATAGCAAAACCCTGTCCCAAAAAGACCAAAAAAAAAAAAAAAAAAAAAAAGATTATGATAGATACAAACGATAACATGAATAAAAATGAAGAAGCCAGAAAATGCAGTATGTTTGAGAAACAGCATGTAATCTTGACCTATGGCATGAAATGGAAAACTCAAAAATCCTTATTTGAGCATAAATGATAATCTTAAAAAGGTATTTTAATAAGTTTTTGTAATTCAGTTACTAATGGGAACTATTAAAAGCTTTTGATGAGCATGGCATGATCAATTCAGATGACACACAGATCAATTTTGTTGGTGATGTTAGTTGAATGGGTAAAATGAGAACAGGACCCTATTTTGATATTCCATTTAGAAAATAGCATTATAGTGATATAGTAACTGAAGATAAAAAAAGAAGAAATGTATGTGGTAAGGCAGATCAGCACTTGTGCCATTGTGGCTGTAAAGCTACAATAGTGTCAGAAGTGAGTGACTCCTAGAAGTTTAACGCCTGTACAATTGGATTTTTTTTTTGTACTGGGAATTAAACTCAGAACCTCAGGCTTGCAAGGCAGGTGCTGTACTACTGAGCTAAATCTCCAGCTAAGCCTGTACAGTTGGGAGGAAAGACAGAGTCAAGAGGAACAGTGAGAATTTGAAAGAAATTCTTTTCAATATTGATTTAGATTGAGTTTATGGTGCCAAATATTTGGGTTTACTTTTTGAAGTTTATTACTCATGAAAGAGATCAATATGTGAGATCTGGATTCTGGATTTTGGTAAAACTAAATAGAAAACAAATGAAATTGTTCAAGGATAGAGAGAAGAGGCTAAAAAGAAAATATTGGGTAACATTAGCCACTAAGGGCCAACAAAAAGGCATGGTATATGGTAGCCAAGTGAGCAAAAAATTCTAAGAATGAAAAATGACTGAGAAAAAATAAGTACTATCATAGTTTAAAACATGGAGCTAGACTGCTGGGTTCCAATCCTACTATTTAAATCTTTGATCCTCAGTTCCCATACCTAAATAAAGGTACCAGGGATGAAGATGTAGATCAGTGGTAGAGTACTTGCCTAGCATAGGCCCTTGGGTTTGATCCCCCATCAAACCTGCACACACACGTGCACACATACAGGCACGCACACACACGCATGCACAGACACAGTACCTGTGTCATAGGGTTAATGTGAGCCTTTTTTTTTTTTTTTTGAAACAAAAAAAAGTAGTTCAGGCTGGTATTGAATTCACAGCAATCCTTCTGCCTCAGCCTTCCCACTGGATTACAGGCATGCACCACCATGCCCAGCTAGTGCAAGCTTTAAAATTAAATTAATAGAAGTAAGATATTTGGTAGAATGTCTGAAAATGTTCTTTAAATATCAGCTATTATTGTCTAATGTTATTTATATAACATGAGTTTTGGAAAATAGATTTAGCAAAATTGGTAGCTCAGCTGCAGTAGGTTATGTTCTATTTGAATAGAAAGGTTATGAAACGTGGGGTAAGAATTCTTTCAAAAAATGATGGAATTATGAATGAAAGAGAAATAGTATGGTGCTTTAACAGGAACAAATTTGAGGATTTTTTAAAAACTTGTTTTAGTGACTTCGTAAGTGCCAGGCTGGCACAGTGCCACTGAGCTATATCCCCAGCCCTGTGAATTCACTTTTTGTTTCATGAATTCTGACAATCATTTTCTGTTGTAATAATTGGGAGGAAATATAGCTAGATGGTCACTGAGATTCTTTGTTGCCAGTCCATAGTATACTCTGAAAATATGTTGTAGTAACTAATTTGTTTTCAATCTTAATGGCTTTCAGGTGGATAATTTACCATAAAATATATTTACCATAAAATGTGTTTGTAGTAGAAAACTTTAATGTAGTTTTGGTTGTTTATGATTTTCATTAGTGATGTGTTTTTCACAAACTTAAAACCAAAAATGGCTAACAGCTGTGAGATGGAAATCATAAACATTAACTGTGGGAAATTGATTGCAGGGATTTCAGCAATCATTTCCTGTATTTAGGGTTGTTTTTTTTTTTTTTCCTGGATTGACTGCAGGGCCTTTATACTGCCCTATATTCCTACCCCTTTCTGTATATTTTTATATCAAATATATTTTTTAAATTTTTATTTATTTATTTTTTGAGACAGAGTCTTGCTAAGTTGTCCAGCTTGGACTCAAACTTGCAATCTTCCTGATCCCAGCTACCCAGAGTGCTGGGGTCACAGGCATACACAGCCACATCCAGCTCTGTCTTTTCTTTTTAGAAAAAGACGTGGCACACATCTGTAATCCTAGCTACTCGGGAGGCTGTGGCAGGAGGATTGCAAGTTCAAGGCCGGCCTGTGCAACTGTAATGAAAATCTATCTCAAAATAAAACATTTGAAAAAAGAGCTAGGGATGTATCTCTATGGTAGAATGACAATTGTGTTCAATCCCCAGGATGGGGGTGTCTAACCTTAACATTAACATGATTTTAATTATTAATTTCAAGAACTGTATTTTTCCAGTGTCACTGATCATTTGACTTTTACATATGTTCATGTTAGTGCCATGATACCATGATTTTTAAATTTTTGTTACACTGTAGAAAAATTAATTTTATGAAAACATTTAGAACTTTATTTTTTTGTAGGTACTGGGAATCAAACTCCAGTCCTCATGCTTACCAGGCAGGCACTGCACCACTGAGCTATGTCCCTGGCCCAAACATTTGGAATTTTAAAATATTTTGATTTTAGAATAATTATCCTTGTAATATTTATATTTTCAGACTGTAATGTTTTTTCCTGAGTCTAGTTCTTGCTTGGTTGCCCAGGATGGCCTCCAATTTCCACCTCGCTTCTGAGTAACAGTGATTACAGGTGTGCACCCCCACACCTGGCTCAGAACTTCATAATGTTTAACTTTTCTGATCCATCCATTATTGTCTGCTACTATAGTTACTAATGTTTCATGAACCTTTCTGGTTTGCAGAGCAGTTTACATACATTTTCCTTATTCAGTCCTTATAGCAACTTCATTGATCTGTAGCTCCACTTCTACCCTCTAAAGATGAGGACTCATCCTCTAAGAACAGGTGATTTTTTCCCCATGTCATTAACAGAATTGATCTGCAACTCAAACCCATGCATCTTTCTTTCTGTACTATATTACTCATGATTAACCTTTATTATTTTAACCACACTATGATCCTGTGTCTGTAATCTTCACAAAAGTAACAGTTTTGTTCCAGGTTTCCAAATTTATGTCCTCTCAGAAATTAAATCATTTTTATGTAAAGCAGTTGTTCTCAGCCAGCTGAGGTTTTGACCTATCTCCCACCCTTCCTCTCAGGAGTATTTGGCGAAGTCTAAGGAAAGTGGTAATTGTCACAGTGGTGCAGGCAGCAGATGGATATGTCTGTCATCCAGTGAGTAGAGACCGTGAAGCTGCTAAACATTCTGTGATGTGCAGGACAATCTCCACTCCAAAGAATGATCTGGCCCCCAAATGTTAACGGGGCCAAAGCTGAATACTCTTCTGGGAAAAAGAGACCTTATTTTGCCCTTCTTAACTTTGATATCCAAACCCTCCACTAATTCTTATATATCTTTAATATTGTCTTCTCCCTATCTCAAATACAATTAAAGTCTAGTCTTTAAGAGTTTAAATAAATGTGACTTTCTTTCATAGGATGGAATTACATAGTGTATTATAGTACTGTTATTAAGAATAACATATTCTCTTTTTAATTTTTAGTCTATGAGCAGGAGATTAGTAATGATCTCATAAATAAAGTTTATACTAATTTTTAAAAAGAATAAACATTAGTGCTGCTTTAATAAATGTTGTCTATAAATTAGAGTTTTCTGAAAAAGTTTATGTTCCTAGGCAGGAGAAGAAGAATTTAACCAAAGCACAGTTCTTTTATTTCAAACAAGATTTTTAATGATGTTTTCCTTATTTTCTAAGTTTGAATGCCAATAAAAAAAGAGACTACTCACAACTTTTGTACAGAATTTTCAGTTTTTGTCTGTTTTATTTGATGCTGTACCAGTTCAGTTGTGTTTCTTGAGTTATCCATTCTGTATGTATTTGAAAAGACAAATGAATATAGAATTCATAGCACATAGACCCTTTCAAGCTAGATCTTCCAAAGGGACATCCTGAAAATACTCCTTGGAGTTGAGGTGACATTGTTATGTAACCTAACAATTGACGTGCTATTTAAGGCTTATAATAATTGATAATAAAAATGTGAGTAATATTTTATATAAACACTCACTTTTTTTTACAAAGGTTTTATAATCAGGTAATAATTATATAAAGAAACCTGTGTGCTTTAGCCCCAAAACCAGCTCTTATTAATAGCATCTATAGAGTTGGTAATGAATACTTAAAGTTTTATTATAAGAAGATAGTTTTAAACATAAAAGACAGGCTGTAACACATGAGAATTTCATTATGATTATCTCAAATCATACTTCACCATGATCAGAAATATTACAGTACTACTCAAATGATTAAAGAACAAAATAGTATAATATACTCTTCTTATAGCTGTCCTTGTCAATTTTGTTTTTCTAACAAAGGAAAGAGCACAAATGCTGCTAAGCCAATCATTCTGTTTACAGTACAGTTCTTTTTAAAATGGACTAGATAACAAAGGGTTAAATACTGACTTTTTACTGAGAAAGGAATGGTTAGGCAAGCAATTTATGCACAATCACTTTATGCAAAAGAAAACTACAATAGATACTTCTCTTAATCCTTATATACCAATATATTGGCAAAATTCTGTTGAAATTTTTTGTCATTTACCATGTAGGACAGATTTTTCTACACATATGGATTTTTCTACCATTATTAATAGCATTCAAGTATTCCAAATGAGAGAACTTTTGAATTTTAAATTGAGTGGACATTATTAATTATTACTTTCTGAAGTTCCCAAGTTGAACACTCATTCTGCTCAAAACACAACGAAATGTTGCAGGTTGTATTTCCCAGTACTTCACTGGGTTGTTAAATAAACTTATTGCACTGTAGAGAGATTTCTTCATCTTTGGTATTGTTGGACAGAAGTCATTTATTCCCACTTTTGCAATTGAATTAGAATGAAGGAAGATTATCTGTTATAGTAGAAAAAAAAGAGAATAGATTTAAAATACCCAGTAAATGTAAAAGAAAGATATTCTTTTATATTCTGTATTTGTTGCATTATTCATCTGTATTTTCACTTAAATGTACTTGTATATACCTATTAAGTAACATAATTATTTGAGCTCCCATACTGTAAAAGAAAGTGTTCTAGGACAGGGGTTGTGTATCACAGAATAGAGCCGTGACCCAAAGTGTGCTACCTGGTCAGCTCGCCACATTGCTTTTCCACCCCACCCTGTCTGCCTCCCCCCGCATGTACTTACTTCAAGTGGGCATGAGTGGTTCACAGTTAAAATTAAGTATTAAAAGTGAGCAGAGGAATGAAATTCAGTGCTCCATGAATTCAACTCAGTATATTAAGATGAGGAAACATTAGCTGGCACTTTTTTTGTGGTAAGGTAGAGAAGTGTAGAACTGCTTTTTTTGGTATGCAGTTTTATAGAAAATCCGTTTGTCAACGTCTTCAACACATATTTGTAATATAGCATTAATAGTTGAATCCTTTGCACTGATGAAGAAATGCCAATTTTAAAGGCTATGAAAATGTCTTTTGAATCATTACTCATAAAGAATGAGAAACTTCTGTTTCCATGATCAGCCTTTCTATTCCTTTTTGGCCTTCTGCAATAATAGAGAGATTTCTAGGAAATAAAAGTAAGCTGCTTTACTAACAGCATTTTGACAGGTTAAAAAGTAGGAGCCTTTTGCTTGCAAAGCTGAAATACTGGTTTTGACCTTTAGTCAAGACTTTGCCAGGCTGGGGATTTAGCTCAGCGGCACAGCGCCTGCCTGGCAAGCGCAAGGTCGTGAGTTCGATTCCTGGGACTGGAAAAAAAAAAAGATTTTGCCTTTATCATCCCGCAGAATCTAGGTATTCTAAAATGTTTTTGTCTGGTGATCAACTTTCCTCTGTGCTCTATCAGTTGTGGGATTCTGTGACAAATCCCTTACATGCTTCCCTTGTTGCTCAGGAACACAATAAGTATGTTTTCCATAACATGAGATTGTTGTGAGTGAAAACAGTGGGCATGAGTGTGTTTACTTTGTGGATGTTCACTGAATTGTACGCTTTTGATTTGTGGTCATCTGTGTGCTTCAGTTCATTAAAAAAGATGCTAATGAGAGTACAGAGATTATAAGAGACGATAAGCTGAGGTCTGAGCTGTACAGATCAGGGAAGGTAGGCTTGAGATAGAGTAGACCAGAATGTGCTTACAGCTGACAGATGTCCTTTGCTGCCATCAGAAACATCAGAGACCAGTAGGTTACCCCATGATCCACATCTGCACAGAGCACATGCTTTGATGGCTGTCTCCAGTGAGTGCAATGAGCAAAACTTGTTTAAAGATAAATGAGAAAGACATGTAAAGAAGCAGAGTGCTTGTTGAGTTTATAGCGTAATTTGCTACTCGGAGATGGGGCCTAGCTGGAGATAGTAGGTCACACTGGGAATGTAACCTGGAAGGCTACATTCCTGTCTCCACCTCCTTACTCTCCACCCTTCCTCCTTCCTGGAGGCCACAAGGTGAGCAGCTCTCCTCTGCTATACCTTCTACCGTGATCTTTCTGCCTTGGAGCCAGTCAGTCCATGGCCTGAAACCTCTGAGACTGTGAGCCAAAAGAAACCTTTGTCCTTGAAGTTGTATATGGCAGCAACAGAAAGATGACTAACGCAGTATTCAGTGCCTGATTTTATTCTCATGTATCTTTCATTTGGAAGATAAGGCTTTGTGTAGCAAGGGGAGCTCATGAGAAAAAAGGATTAAGATGAAGTAATACCATGCAGGGATTCTTAATCAGAGGTCCCTAAATGAGAATCAGAAAGATTGTGAAAAACCTAGAATTATGTGAAAAATATTGTTTTTATTTTATGTGACCCTGCCAGCAAGTTAAGAAATGTGAGATAAGAAAGGAAAAAGTTTCTAAGAAGGAGGAACAGCAACTAATGAAATGTAAATTTTTTTTTTCTTTTCATGGTGCTGCGGATGGAACCCAGGGCCCTCCACATTCTAGATAAGCTCTATGCTGGAGAATTATATCTCCACCCCAGTGCGAGCTTTTGATGCTCCAAATAGTGAATTCTAGTTAATTACAAGTGTTTTAAAAAGCATACCCACTGCCAACCTAGTACCATATTGACAGTGAAAATATGGATCCTGATTCTCTTGCTCTGACCTCTGAGATATGTCCAGAACAAAAGGACATCTGACCCTGCCTTAGAAACTATAGAAACCTGAAGTTAGCTATGTTGGCATCTTTGCTGTGAGTGCCTCAGCAGCTTCAGACTGAGAAGCTGGATACTGAAACCTGAGCTTCTTGGGGGAAAGCTTTTTGAACCCATTCTCCTGATGCTCTCCTATCTGGTGAAACACTTTAAGTAACTTGGGGAGTTGTGATGTCTGAATTACTCCTGAAGCTTGCTTGATCTTTGTTTGAAAAATACTAAATATGTTTTATAAAAGTGCTTGTATCGACCAGACACAAGTATGGTGTTTTACCTGGAGGTACTTCAACTCCTGTAATCCTGAAGGGATTTTTTTAAGTTTATTATTTTCCAAGTGTATTTCTCTCACACGAGGTATGTTAGCAAAACTTCCATTTTCAATATCTGCGATTCTGTTGTTTCCTAGGCCCAACCTAAAATTCATAATAAAAGGTATCAATTCTTATGCAGATGGTTAGGTTTGATAGAGTTTGCTGAAAACATCACAGTCCTACTTAGAATACAAGCCTATCCTATTTTCATGTATGGTCACAGAAAGCTGGTTCCTGGCTTTTTTTTTTTTTTTTTTTTTGAGACAGAGTCTCACTATATTGCCCAGGTTGGCCTTAAACTTACAATTCCCTGACTCACCCTCCTCAGTAACTGGGATTACAGGCATGTACCTCTGTCTCTTGTTTTCATGGCTTTAATAACCTATTTCATTATGTAACCCCATCCCCCACATATACACTTTGAATGTTATTTGTCCTAAATGCACCAAAGAGAAAATTTACAAAATATGCTTTCCTTTGCCTTTTCCATTAGCATAGGCAGTAATAACAGTGCTTCTTTCTAGTTTTTCTTTCACACTCTGTAGTAGCAACAGTAATGATCTCAGCTGGGGCTGTTATGCGCATTCTCTAAGAAGCTTCAGTAATATTTTAATCCTATGTGCTACTATTTCTAAATTAAGATTTTGCTGTGTTATATACATGTACCAACTCCCCACAGTGAATGTGATTATTATATACTACAAACATATACTAAAGATAAATTAAGACTTCGGAAACTTTCACCTTTGCAGTTCCTTGTATCGCTTAAAATCCTCATCTTCCACTGTTGAAATTTTGTTAAAATCTAAATGGAGCTCCAATAAAGTTGATGGTAAGTCTAATAATAAAAGAAAGATGTTGTTAGATCAAGTAAGGCTGTTCCTCATGACGATTTATTGTCAAGTTTTAGGTTATGGATTTAAATAATTCTTTAAGTATCTACTTCAGAAAATTTGTTACGAAAATTTTCAACCATGTACAAAATACAAATTATTGTTGTAAACTACCATGCTGTCATCCAGCTTCAACCTAGCTTCTTTTTTCCACTTTTACTTCATCTACCCCATTTATTTATTGACATATATATGTCTTTCTTTGCTGGAGTATTTAAACTCAAATCCCATACATAAATGTAATTTTACCTGTGAGTGCTTCACTATGTATCTAATTTTAATACATAAGGTCACCTTTTTCTTTTTTTTTTTTTTTTACACTAATCACCTTGCCAATATTAATGTCAACAAAATTAGCAATAATTCTTTGATATCATCTAATACTGATCTACCCTAGTTGTCTCATATAGATCATTTTATAGTTAATTTGTTTAGGTCAGGGTCCAAGTAAAGTTTACAGAATACTTTGATATTTATCTCTTTTAAAATCTTTCATTTTCTACAACATAGTCCTTCCTATTGATTTCTTTCAGGTATTGATTTGAGACTGAAGATTTGAGACATTCATTTTGTGGATTTGGCTGCCAGTGTCCAAATGATCTTATTTATCAGGATCCTAAACCCTTATTTCTTATGTCCTGGCCCTCAGATCCAAAGACAATCAGATTTAAGTAGATCACCTTTGATGGTTTTGGCATTCATTGATGGATGCTGTCTTGATCCATTCTTTAATCAGTAATCGGAAAGTGGTGACTTACTGGTCCCTTGCTTGGTTGGTTTGTTTGTTTGTGAGGTCTCCCTATGTTTTCTATGCTGGCTGTACAAGCTCCTGGGAAAAAGCAGTCCCTGTCTCAACCAGGTGTATAGGTATGGGCCACTGTGCCTGGCTTTGATGACTATCTGGATTTTGTTATTCTTTATGGCTTTAGTGGCCAGAATTCACCTCTAAATGATTTCCTCTCATAATTATTTAATTTTTTTAAATTTTTTAATTTTAAAGAGTCATAATTATTTAATTATTTACTAATATAGTTTGCATTAAAATTCTTGATTCTTTCTTTGATGCAGTGTCCAGGGGTGACCAGTGAAGGTTTTTTGTTTTTTTTGTTGTTGTTGTTTCACAATAAGCAAAGAATTTTACTCTGTCCCAGATAGTTAATCCATTGTGGTATTTATTCTTTGAATTAGTAGTAGGACTTTTATTTGTTTAATAAATTATGAAGTGATTCTGCAGTGCCCTGGCAGCTGGCAGGCGCCCAGTGAATATCCATCTTTCTCTTTTCACTGGCATATTCTGACCTCAGCCCTTTCCAGATATATGGAAGCTACAGTGGAAGAGACTGACCAGAAGACTCAATCAAACTTCATTTTGTTAGTCCTATATACGATGTATTGTCAGCCAGAGGTTTTAGGGGACTAGTTGGGAAAGCTTTCTTCTTTTCAGTTTTTGCTGCAATATTTCCTTCCTGGGTTAGTGGTAATTACTAATGAAGATAATTGAAATATCCTTATGAGTGTCAGTAGTCATCGTGGCTGAATTAATTTTGATTCCAGAGTGTACTTTGAATTTTAAAAGTAAGTAAACTCAAGAACAAGAAAATAATTCCTTAGAAACTCAGAAGTTTCTGTTTTTAAAAAATGCTTATTGAGTAGAATTATATTTATGGAGTGACTATAATAATCCCTCCAATATGTAAGACAAAAGATTCTTCCCTCAAATATCTTGTATTCTCTTTGAGATCATCATTCATACAAAAATTACTAGAAAAATCGATGGTATAGTATGCCAGTCCATTCTAACATATGAAGTCAGAGAAGAGTGGTATCTCTGGAAGAAGATGTGAAGAATTTCAGGCGCCACATGTCCCTAGAACATAGGAAAGTTAAGGGCCCAGAGAAAAGAGCAGAACACAGCTGAGAAGACTGGTATGAGCAGAGGCTGATTCTGGGGGAAGCTCAATGACTGCCAACAAATATCAGCATGCTGTTTTATATAGGAACGTCTGTTCCCACCCTATTTTCAAATGGGTGCTTCCCACCACTGCCACCACCTTCACAAAACACACACACACACACACACACACACATACACACACACACACAGTGTGATCATGTACTAAAATTTCTCAAATATTTCCCAAATGAAAAAGAAGATATTATTTCACTTTTTCTGTTAATGCTTCCTAATAAGGACTCCGGGGCAGTCTGTCCCTTCATCCACTGATAGAATTGTGACAGGCAAGCAATTAGTCATCACATCTTAGTAAGTTATAAAAACAACAACAAAAAACTGGCTTCTGAATGTCAGATATTGAAGTGGTAGTTAATATAATTTGAAAGATTTTATTCTAATTTAAATTTCTGAAGACTTAGTGTTCCTTAGGCTTTGGAAAAGATTTAAAAGCTTCATAAGACATTAAACCTAAGACATTTTTTGAAATTTAAAGAGAAATTCTAATTGAAGTGTTTTTTCAGTGAAGGACACACCACTAGTGTGAATGTAAAGAGTGGCCCTCTGATCTGTGAGCGTAAAGAATGGACTACCTCCTCCAAGTGCGGCTCCTCATACCTCTCCTGTCTTTACTTCCCTTTACTCCACTGCAGCTTCCTTTTAAGAAGGGGATTTTATATATTTAACCTATTGAATATAGTTGGGGTTTTTTGTCATTGTTCTAAGTAAAGTTAGTTCTTATAGATGTAGTTCTGGATTAATGTGTCTTTCATGTTAGAAAAATTATCTTCCCACTTTACTTTTTCTTCATCTTTCACCTAAGTGAAAGGTCACTACTTAATAATAACTTTTCTGCATCTTAAATTCTGTATGTGACATTGTTTTGTTAATCACTGGATCAGGTGAATAGTGTTTATAAGAAGTTTTTATGATAAAGTTCCTGCTTTTATTGTTGCACATTTTTATGAGCTTTTTAAAAAAGAATAAAGAACGTTAGAAATGATGCAGAATTTCACTAAACAAACGGCTTTTTAGCAGTGAAAACGTTATTAATCATGTGGGTTATTTTTGAACCAAGTAGTCATCAAAGCAGAGAAAGAGACAGACACAGAGACACCATGATCCATGGGGACAAAGAAAGGAAGATTTTGAGCATGAATTCCAAGAAAGTCATCTTCTATAGCTAGTCACCAGGCAGGGATCTTGGAAGTAACAGTTTAGAAAACTGGTCATCTTAACAAAGTTAAGAAGCCCAAACAAAGACTTCAGGGCTCCTCATGGTAAGGTTGGTGTCATGAGACATTACTTGCTATAGCCAGACACTCCTCAAATCTTTCTGTGTTTTGTCACACTGATCTCTCTTCCCCTGGGAAGAGGCTGGCTCAGAGTACCTAATGGCACATCCATTCCTGGCTGCCCCCATCTGGCCTAACTGGCTGCACCGCAGCTGTAGCAGCACAGCTGGTGATGAGGGTCAGCCCCATCTAGCTTTCTGAGGTTTTTCTCTCTATAGAATTATCCACCTCTATTGTACCTCATGGAATGACAAGTATACTTCACAGAATAACAGATGTAGATAAGTAAATGTCAGAAAAGAGAAAACAAAAAATCCATTGCTTCTTAATATTTATTCTTAAACATTTTCAGCATTTTAATGTTAATTAAAATTAGTTTAATGCTGTCAAAAGTCACTACATAAAAGGATAAACTTGAGGCTTTCTTGAGATCATACTCATAAGTGAAATAAATCAGACTCACATGTATAAATATTGTATTGTCTTCCTGGTGTGAGAAACTAAAAAAGTAAATAAGGTCCAAAATGTGCAATAGAAACTGTGAAATGGGAAGAAATTGTTCTAAAGGAAACAGGAACTAGGATGGAGGAAAGAGAAAATGAAAGAAGAGAAAAAGAAAAAAAATACAAGGTAGCTATACTACTATAGTATAGTTATAGCTATACTATAACTATAGTTATACTTTCTCCTAGTTCTTTGAAAAGGTTGTGCTAATATTGTTTGGAGAATTTTTTGTGCACATATCTTGTACTCTGAGTAACTGCTTTAAAGATAACAATATGCAATGTATCAACTATTGGTATTTTCCTATTATCTTGTTATGAAATTTTGTTTTACTTTTTTTCATAAGATAAAAAAATCATTACATATAGTTCTCTACATGTATGTGAAAAAAATGCTAAATTTCATACTCTTTTGTCCAGATACATCGATACAAAGATTTTTAATTGTAGTGGGATTCTGGCAATGCATACTGTACAGTTCACACCATTTCACTTAATAGACACTGAAAGGTGACAATTTAAAAATGACTATCTTAGAGGCTGGGGATTTAGCTCAGCGGCACAGCGCCCGCCTGGCAAGTGTGACATCTTGAGTTCGATTCCCGGTACCAGAAAAAACAAAACAAAACAAAAAACAAAAAACAAAAAAAGAAAAAGAAAATGAAAATGACTATCTTAAAGCAAATACAAACCTTTAGGAATTGAGGTTAGTTTTGCCTCAGCAATTCTCATATGGAACACTGTCACCCCTTCAAATGCCCCTTGCTCTATTCCACTATTTTCAAGAGGGTTTGCACTCATTTCTGTGGAAAAAATGACTTGATTTAGCACACATACCTTATACGGAAAGGAAACTCACTATGCAAGACACATCCTAAGAATATTTCAAGACATGTGAGTTTCATTGTTCACACTCATTTTCACTGAGTGTTTATGTTTCTATTGTTCTGTTCTCCCTCTAGTTAGCCTCTGAAAAGTATCAGTTTGTACTTTGTACAATAAGATATGTAGCAGGTTCACTTTCTCCTGTAGTAGTGACCACAATAAAAGTTTTATGGTAGTAATATTGCAGCAGAAAAAAGTCAACCTTCATATAATTAAAAATGCTTGTATTTTTTATTTTATTTCCTAAACTTTCTTTTTAATCATGTCACCTATAAATTACATGATTACCAGATTACATTGGGAAAATGCTAGTTAGAGACTATTTGGTTAAATGCCAAGTACTTAATTGAATTAAATGAATAAGTGAATGAGAATCTTGTTTAGGACATTTGGATGGATATTGTGAGGAGATGGCATAGTTATATGGTGAGTATTAGAAGTAAAATTCAGTGGGGTTTAGCACATTCACAGCAGGGTCATACATGCATGATTGTCCCAACAGGTGGCTTGTACCACCCAATGGGAATGTCCCATGCCTCCTGATGGGACAGTCATGCATGTACCACTGGTGGTTCAAGCTGGTAGGAATGTGTTAAAATATACAACAAAAAATTGCCTAGACCAGCGATCTCTTGTTTTGTTTTGGTCTTGGTTTTTTGAGTTAGAATCTCATTCTATAATTCAGGCTGGCCTTGAATTCACTGTGTACCTTAGGCTGGCCTCAAACTCATAGCAATCCTCCTCCCGCAGCCTCCTGAGTGCTGGGGTTACTGGTGTGTACCACCATGCCCATCTTAGATCACTGATCTTAAAAAAATTAACCAAATGTAAGGTTTACATTTCATATACTATCTGAATGAATTTCATACGTTATATTTGAATATTTAAACATCAAAAATACCATCCTTAAATAACAATAACATAGATTTATTAATTAGGATCCAGTTCCAAAAATAAAAATCACACTAGATATTTCAAAAGAGACTTTCAAGAAGACACAGTATTAAAGACCGTATTTTCTTTAAGTGCTATGAATTTTGTTTACATTTTAATTGATTTACAAATGGTTTATTGAAGCAAAAATTCAAACATTAATTTTGGAAATTATCCTTATAAATTAACAATGGTAATAAAGTCTTGTACATTTGCTTGTTGATTTTAATTTCAAGATGTCCCATTCATTTGAAAAACTTACCCAACACATGCAAAGCATTCATTCCTTTGAATGTATCCTTTTGTATTTTCTTAACTTTATTATCATGGATTCTAAGTTCTGCTAATGCTTTGGGAAGATTAAGTGGTATTTCAGTTAGTTGATTGTGGGATAAATACAGCCTTCGCAGCTTCTTTGTAGTTTGAAAGGTTTTAGGGTGAATTTTTGTTAGCTTGTTGTTGTTGAGAATCAGAGCCTGCATAAAACATAGCAAGTTACATAATATTAGGAAATGGGTTTGATTTACTGATATTCCACAATAATTAATCATGGAAATAATATGACATGTCGTTTGTGTAATTAACCATATAAAAATTTCCTAATGCATTCTAAGCTTTAACAAAATCAGTATTACCGTAAACATTTTAGGTTTTTTGTTTTTGTTTTTGTTTTTGTTTTTTTATTGGTTTGGTTTTTCTCCGGTACCGGGAACCGAACTCATGACCTTGCGCTTGCCAGGCAGGCGCTTTTGCCGCTGAGCTAAATCCCCAGCCCCTTACCGTAAACATTTTAAATGCACTGCTGAGTTGGAGCAGTGTAAATCTTTAATGATTGGTTTTGTGTCTTTAGTTTAGATACATACTCATCTTTTTTATCTTTGAGTGGGTGGTACATTCACATGGTTAAGATTTCAACCATTACTCAACTCCTCATGGAAGTGACCAATGGTATATTACCTTTTCTTAAAACAAATTTATTATACAATAATATATACCTATTATGCTTATTGCATACCAAATGTGTTTTCATAGGATTTTATATACTTTGAAAGCCTCACTTCTTTCTTGTGTAGTACTGTTTATCATTTCTCCCAGAATACAGGCCTGTTAGGAAAATGCCATACAAAGCACCTTCTGTGTTCTGGCATATTTTCAGGCACTGGGGAGATAATAATGGATCCAGACAAATACTCCCACACCTTCTCAGTTCTATGGATATTTCTTATGGCTATAGGACAGTACCCTCAGAGAAAATCTCACCAGAGAGTGAAGTGCTTTTAGCAGAGACCAACTTCTTTGTAATATGTCTCAAGGCTCATGGCTACCATGTGACCATTCATCTTGGTCTACTGGGACTATAAGAATCTGCGATATTAAATTTTCAGACCCAAACCGAGAAAGTTCTGGTCCATCTGGGTCTCAGTCACTCTCATAACCATTTTTATTGCAAAATAATGTAGCTCACTCCTTTTCTCATTGTCAGCTGGTGCGGAATGAATTTTCAGTATTTACCAAGGATGATGGCAAGATACTTAGCAATTTTAAGAGCTTTTTGTCCCTCTAATAATTCGCACTATCTGAATTCTTTAAGGAGCAGGTCAGGATTCAATTCTCTTGTTAACTTTGTCCAAAATTCTGTTCTACAGCAATATTTCTTTTCAAACTGATTTAACATGCCATATTGGTATTTCTCACAGTTGTTGTTTTTCTGTAGCAGAAATACACACTCTGGCTGCCCAGTACACTTGGATTAGCACATTTGCTCTTCACTCTCTTTCCTCACTTTCCTTCTAGACATACTGCTACTATGAAAAGCTTCTTTCACCTGAGGAACTTTAAGTCTAGTAAAAAAGGGAAAATGACATCTTGTTGCCAGCTGTCAAAATAAACTCCTTTCTGAGTGATGCCAACTGCCAGCATGTTCTCCTTTAGTTAATTACACTGAAAATAAAGGCGGGTTCATAATTTGATAGGACAAAAAGATGTTTGTGAATTTTGCCTCTATCACATAACATTAGCAGAAATTATTGTTCTCCTTTGAATAATGCACAGATGGATGCAGTGAAGAAAAATGTCTTGCCTGCCATCACCCTGCAAGTGATGGTCTGAGATACCCTGGCCAGAACAAGCATGTGCCTCAGTGAGATCCAGCCACAGTACACACGGCTTTGGTCAGTTTTTGTTTGTTTTTTTTTTTTTTGCTTTTTTTTCCCCTGGCTAAGACATGCTGTTGGGATGGCTAAAGATGCATAAAAGGAAGATAAGTGGTAAAACAAGAGCAAAGATTTTTATGCAGTGCTATTAAGTGCTGCCCTGGCACAGTAGGTTGGCAGAGTAACACCAGGGCAGCTGTACTCTGGTTTGGCTTTTATATGAGGAATTGGCTATCACAGAGCCCTAAATTCATCCTTTTAAAAATGTGGTTCTTTGCAAGGACAGAAGAAAAGTGTGTGCATTAGTAGGACAGCAGGTCTTGATGAATGTGTCTGTATAGCCGTGAGAAGTGAGCTAAGAGGCCTGGGAGTGTTCTTGGATCTCTCTCCCTCTCTAAATGTATCATCCTTTGTGTGCGAGCCCTACTGCTGAGTAAGCAGCTGAAACATAACAGATTGATAGAAAGTCTGAAACATTTTGATTCTCTTTTAAAATGGGCCTCATAAGTGATACTAAATAAATGTCTTGTAGTTATGCAATATATCTACAGTTCAAGTATAAGAATGTACTTTAATAATTACTTTACACCCAGGCACAGTGTCATATGCCTATAGCCCAAGCTACTCACGAGGCTAAGCTAGGAGGATAAGTTGAACCTATAAGTTTGAGGCTAACTTGGGTCACACAGGGAGACTTGCCTCAAAATAAAGTGCTTTACATTAGCACTTTGGGTCACTCTGCTCATTAACAGCCTGGAGGTCCCTGTAATTGCTGAGCATCTTTCATGCATTTGCCTATTTAATCTTGTACCCACTCTATGAGATCTATGCTATCATTATACCCCTTTTAAAGCTGAGGAAAGTAAGGCTGTTCCCCATTGTGAAATACCTGGTAGTCAGGATTTGAGAGCCCAGGTCTACCTGACTCCAGAATATTCATCCTGAAATACAATGCCATATAAAATTTGACTGAGAGTATTGAAGAAGCCTAAGAATGCTCCTGAAACCTTTTAGATTCTCATTTCCCAGTCAATAGTAGGAATACATGTGGACCTAGTCTCTGTAATAATTCTAAACTATAATAAAATTATGATATGACAAATTAATTTAAAACCTTTTTATGGCTCTGGTACTAAGTATGACATTAGCTGTTAATCTTGTGATTGTTTAAATTGAATGTGGTTTGAAGAACTGGTAAGAAACTCTGTTTCTAACTTTTCTCTTAAAATTACGCACATATCTATGTGCATGTACACACTCACATACATTTTTTATTTTCAACCCCTAATGGTATAATAATGCCTCACAGTTCCCCAAAAGTGTGTGTGCTCTGGAGTTAGTGGGGTAAGCTCAGTAAACCCTTGCTGGGATCTACTGTGTTAATGCTGATTATCTTAATAGATAAGTAAACTATCACTTTGAAAATAAATGTATACTCTTCTAGAGTTGCTTTAAATATATATATATGTCCTAGACCAGTGGTGTCGAACATATGGCACACTTTTTGTTTTTCTTTTAAAACAAAAGATTTAATGTAGGAGTTGTTTTTTTAAACTAAAACCTCAGTATTCGTGTTTAATTGCAGTGTTGCCACTTGGCAATAAATAAATGGGTTTGGGATTACAGTTTGGGCACTTGGTGTCTAAAACATCACTGCTCTATGCTAATGATTGCTATAAATGTTTTCTTGTTTAATTTGCTATATAGTGAGTTTGTTTATTTTAAAAATAAAAGGAGGAAAACATTAACAGACAACTTTTATAAAATAACAAAAGAACAGTACAGACAATACAGAGTTACAAAGTGGTAGGAAATTAACAATGCTTGTTGTATTACATATTGATATCTTCACAATGGTTTCTCATGAAAACAGAGACATGCAATATTGATCAATCAAGGACTCATTGACAGTTTCTTTCAGCAAAGAAATAGAAGACAGTAGAACAACTATGTTAACTATCCTGTATATACATACATACAAAATTTCTCCTTCATTCCCTTCTCTTTTCCCACACCCCAGTTGCCCTTTACCCTTGAGTGTTTTCCCATCATTTCACAATGTCTATCATGCCTCCTACTTTAAATTAAATTAACTCTTCCAGGTTTTACACTAGTGAAACAGTGCGGTGCTTGCATTATATAGTGACTTTTGATACCTGATTATATTTAAACCCATTAAGGACCATTAAAATCTCAGCCTATTGTCTTTAACCTGGCTATTATTCAATAAACATCAAATGAATTAAATTATTAATTGGATAAATTCTATAATTTTTAATCAACCAGAACATCACTGAATGCAAGGATTTTGTCATACTTCACCTATAGAAAAGTAGACTTGTTTATACTAAAACAATATAATCATTTTAGCAATGATAGATTTTCACTAAACATTTGAAAATAAAAGTATATATTCTTACATAAAGTGAAGTCAGTCCTTTAAAGTCATTTTCTTTGATTTCTTTAATTTTGTTGTTTTGAAGGTCAACCATTCGCGTATCAAATGGAATGTTGCTTGGAACCGAGGTCAGACCTGAGAAATAAACATTACAGACACTAGAGAATTCTGCAGAAGCCTCGATTGCTAATATGGTAGATATCCACAGTTATATGCTACAGAGTTGTACTGAAGTTGAGATTACTAATATCATAGAGATATACACTCTAAAATCCATGGTTTTCACTAACAGAGGACTTGATAGTTGTTACAGATGACACAAACATTATTTTTAGAAAAGTCTCAGGACCATTCAAGTAACTCTTTTATTTTTACAAGGAATCTGTAAAATACCACTCCACAGTGAAATAATGGGGTAAGATGGGGCCTAAAGAGCTGACAGACAGCTAAAGCACAGTTTATGTGATGCACTTTTGGTTGAAGAATACCAGCTTTGTATGCAGCTGTTTAGACTGTAGTAGTGAGAAGTGGAAACATATGGGTCTTGATGATTTTTAAGGAGACTCAAAATGTAGACATTGTACTTAGAAAATAGATAAATTACTCTCATGTATATTATCAAAAACTTTATCCATTTCCTGTAAGTAATCAACCCTCATTTATTCATAAGTTTTTTGATTTATAAGTATTTATTCCTGCATTACTCTTTATTAGCATCTGAAAGAAAGAAATGTTCTATCTGACAGCTCCACTGTTTCCCTGTGTTCTGAGTTTTTGGAATAAACATGGATGCACTTTGCAGTTTAATGTAGTCTCCACTTAAATATGTATGTACGTGTATATGTGGTGGTGCTGCAAATGCAGCTCAAGGCCTCAAGCATGCATTCTACCTCTGCCCTCTTATTTTTCTTATAATAAGCCAGTTCCATTTTGTAGACTGACCTTGAACCTGCTATCCTCCCACCTCAGCCTTGAATACCTGGGACTACAGGCGTGCACCAGCTTCCACATAAACGTTTAAATAAAAAAAGTATTATACAATCAATGAGAATGATTTTTAAACTTAGTGATGACTTTTCCCATTTTAATTTTGTCAGAATAGCAGTTTTTTGATTAAAACAAAATTGATTTATGCTCTTACCTAGATCAGAACAGTGTACAACTCGTGAGTAACATTGGCATCCAAATGGACATGTTGGAAACAGATCAAATGGGGAAAATGGATATACTGGCTCTTTTGTTGGAAAAAGAGAGTTGTCGTCATCATTATCATCCTCATCATCTGTGTCTTCCATATCCTTCAGCATTAAATTCTTCAGTGTGATGTGTGAAGGGCTAAAGAAGGGTTTGGCAGAACACACAGCCAAGAGCACTAAGAGCACATATTCTTTCATGCTGTCTTGTGTAGAAGACTGATCTAGGACTAAGCAGACATTGAGTATTAAGTTAGAGTTTAAACAGATATAATTTCTGCAGCTATACATTTCTCAGTGCTGGCAAGAGTACAATGTAATGGCATTCTTACCCATTCATAGGTAGTTGAGGAGTAAACTTACAATTTTTTTTTTTTTGACAAGCAATTCAGTATAGTATGCATTGAGAGTTTTAAAAATATCTTTATATTTTCACTAATTCTACTTTTTGGAATCTAGTCTCAGGAAATAATTCTAAGTGCACAAAGACATTCATCACAAAATTATATATACTAGAAAAAATTACAAATAATTCCAGTAATTAAAGTGGGATAGGGGGCTGGGGATTTAGTTTAGCAGCACAGCACCTGCCTGGCAAGTGCAAGGTTGTGAGTTTGATTCCTGGCACTGGGAAAACAAAAAAACAAACAAACAAACAAAAAAATAAAGTGGAATAGGAAGATAAAATAGGATGTATTTGCTCCATGAAATACTTTGGATCCCAAAAATCTGCTTGCAAAAATATTTAAAAATAGACAATATTATTTTTGTGCAATAAAAATTATATGTAAAAATATCAGTCCCTGTTAGAAAAGTACAAAAAAGGCACAAGTATGGGTGGGGGTTTTTTGTTTGTTTTTTGTTTATTTATTTATTTTTCCCGGTATCGGGAATTGAACTCACGACCTCGTGCTTGCCAGGCAGGCGCTGTACCGCTGAGCTAAATCCCCAGCCCAAGGCACAAGTATGCTTGATTAATGATAAACTTTAGTGGTGGAATCTATGGATGACTTGTGTTTTTTCCCTTTAATTTTACAATGGGTAATAACTTTATAAACAGTAAATTTAACTTTTTCTAAAAACAGATTATCAGATTTAACCCTTTTGCTAAGTCCTTTCATTGCCTTAGTATCTATGAGCCTTTAAAAGGAATATCCTTGGCACCCCTGAGATGACATGCAAATTTTTCTTAGCTTAGCTCTCCTTGCCCTCTACATTCTCACACTTATTGTTGGTCACCTTTTCCACAATGTCCCTGGGATCTTTTTCCTTCTAATCTGTTCTGCTGTCTAATATCTGATCCAAACTATCTTATGTCCAGACTATTCTATTTTTGTTCATTTTCTACAACCTCTGATTGTGTGCTTGTGATGGAGCTGGGTTGTTTTTACTTATTTGTTTGTTTGTTTGAAGATTCCACAAAACTGGAATATACTAATGAAAATCTTCAGAGTACAGATTCCTTGCCATCTGATGACTGGTATTCCTACATGTATATTTACATAGCATAGTTTCTTAATTATCACCTGTGCAACTTATACTTTCTGAGAAATTTTCAAAAACTAAAAATATTGTGAAATCCAAAATTGTCATATCCTAGAGCTATCTGTTGGTTAGAACAAGTCCTGGCAGGAGAGCATCTGTACATTGCCACAGCAGAGGATTCCCCAGAATGTCCTACAGTCTCAGTCACCTAACAGTGCGCTAGGACTGCGTTACTGAAGTAACTGAGTGAGTTACCACCAGTGACTGAGAGAGACTTCTAACCAGTCAGAGCTGGGCCAGTTCCAGGAAGATCTACCTTCAGTTATCTTGGTTGGTAACTATTTCCCAGAAATCTGCTTGAGCATCTCTACAGGCATGGTTTTTCCTTGATTTAAGAATAAGAAAGAAATCAGACCTGCATGTGCAAACACTGTATTGTCTTCCTAGTATAAGAACCTGAAAGAGTAAATAAACTGAAAGGTACAATAGATATTGTGAAAGGGAAAGAAACTATTTAATAGAAAAGAACAACTGGGATGAGGGGAAGAAGAAAAGAAAGAAAGAAGGAAGGGAAATAATACACACACACACACACAATAATTGTACTACTAATTTCTATTGGTTTATTGAAAGGAACAGTTAATGTTTAATGGTTTGATCAATCTTGCATACCTATATCTGATAATCTGAGCAACTACTTTGAAGATAACAATAAGTAATACGGCAATCAGTGTTGATTTCCTATCATCTTGTTTTCAAATTTTGTATTTTTATAGTTTTTGTGTTTTGTTTTTGTCTTTGTTTTTGTTCTTTTCTCTTTAAAATAAAAAAATAAATAAATGGGTGGATGAATTAAAGTACAAATTTATATATCACGTGTCTGTTTTAATCACCAGAACACTGTTAGAAAATCCTACCTTTAGTTATTAACCTAATAATTACTTTATGTAATGTTTTATACACTCTAAAATTCTGAGTGGTGATTTGCCCACTGGGGAGCTGGCTAGCACTGGCAAAATATGTCTGGTGTCTCTGTCATAGGAAAGAGATTACAGGATATATATAAAAATGAGGAAAACTTTTTATATTTTAATAATCTTATCCTGAATCCTGTTTTAAAACCAACCCTATCCTCCCACCTCTGTCTCCTTTCTGGAATTGTTACCTCAGAACTTATTCTGGATGGGGAGGGCATGGAGTGAAATGAATGTGTGCCAACATCAGTCTGCCAACAGAATCATTTCACAGGTTTATGCATGCAAGTGAGAGCTTGTGCTGAGATTAATTCCCTGGTGGTGAAAATTACCTGCTGTGGTGACTGCTTTCCTGTGGCTGCTGTAGGGCCTCCCTACTGGTCATTCTGGAAATTGTGATATAGGTCCTGGTGAAGGTCACTTGGACTTCACTTTCAGTATTTCTTTGTTCCTGTCTCTGCTTCTCAGCTGCCTATTTCCTTTAAGTCATTATGCTTTTTGACCTCAGATGCTCTCTGTGGTCCAGGCTCCCTAGTGTTTAGTACCCAGCTTTTATTCAATCTCCAAAATACTCATTCTCTAGAAACTCAGTTCTTGGTCCTTAGCTGAATCACAGCTTATTCCTGATTACGGTTTATTCTTTAATGTTTATAAATTTTAGCTCTTTCTTCCAGGGTACACAGTTATACTTGACCTTGGCTATGAGACACAAGATTAGTGTCATTTGAGGTCCTATCTCTGGCTTAGTTTGAGGTTGCTGGAGTTACTCAACGAGCATTTCTTAAGCACCCACTGTGCCCAGGTATGATGTTGGGATGCTGAATAGTGGGGCAGAGCACATCTCCTTCCCCTTCCTCTGCTCTCTTCCACCTCCATACTCAAAGCATGTCCACAACCCCTAGTCAGCCCCTCTCAGGTAACTATGGGATTGTTAAAGTTAACATTTGAATGTCAGGTATATTGGTAGGGAAACTAAGAATAGAAAAGCCTAAATTAGTAAATAGAATAGTAAAAGACAATGTCAACTGTATATATTGACTCTATAAGTGAGGTGATTTTGACACTAGATGTGGGTCTCCAAAGCTTTGAAAGTAATGTTCTTTACCAGGTGCCTCTTTTCTCTTTATAACCCTTACTCACTGTAGACCACTAGAATTAGACATCTATAAAATCATACATGAATATGAAAAGTAGGGGCTGGGGATTTAGCTCAGCGGCACAGTGCCTGCCTGGCAAGTGCAAGGTCCTGAGTTCTGTTCCTGGTACTGGAAGAAAAACAAAAATAAAAACAAAAAAAAATATGAAAAGTATAGAGTATACAATACCCAGGATGAAGAATGGTCAAATTTTGAGTAAAACATTTTTTTCTTTTTGTGCCTAGTTTTTAAAATTATGTTGCTTGCTGGTGATATAGTTCAGCAGCACAGTGCCTGCCTAGCAAGTGCAAGGTCCTGAGTTCGATTCCCAGTACCAAAAAAAAATTATGTTGCTTTAACATATTTTAAATATCAGTCTGCCAACAGAATCTTCCTTACATCGGTCCTACATATGTATTTCGGCCTTTTCCTACCCCTTCCTTAGCATTAGACCACTGTCACAAATGTTAGATCTAAAGGTTTCTAGTGTAAACTATCCTTGTTTATCTGCCCTAAATTTAAACAAAAACACCTATGCAGGAAAGTATTTTGGAGTGTACAGTTTCTTGAGGACTAGCCCCATTTTTAGATCTATAGGAAGTGCAGATTTTAATGATTTTTTTTCAATTTGTTGGTTAAGTGTTTTTTCATAGAAGTTTTGAGTTGTATGGGCTTTAACTCTGTGGTGTAGAACAGAAAAAAACTAACAAACACATAATGTACCTGAAATACAGAACTAAGAAAGAACTATGGAACTTAAAAAAAATTATGTGTAACAATGGCAATGTGTTAAAGAGTTCCAAAGTGGATGCCAAAAACACATGTTGGTTTCCTTGTGGCCTGGCAGCTGGAGTGAGGGCTGGCTTTGCTGCTGTGCATGCCACATGCTGAGTCCCACAAGATTTGTTCAGCCTTGTTGCTTCAGTGATTGAGGAGTGGCTCCCCTAGTGCTGTCTGGAGGTTTAGGCTGTGGAGCAGTTCAGGTGTGAGAAGCAGAATGTGGAGCAGAGAGGATAATGAGAAGATACAAACAGAACAGTGCTTCTCTTCCACATCTTACCAGCCCACTGCGGGTCCCTAGTACATGTAGCAGGATCCCTCCATTTCTCTATCTTCTTAGGCTGACAAATTTCATGAAAGCCTCCCTGCCTTTATTCAAAGCTGAAGTAAGATGAAAATGGGAAACCGAGACTTCTGCCTGCTAGCTTTAGGATAGGGCAGCGCTGCAGTTGCTGATCAGTGGAGGGTAGATGGGCTGTTCCCTGTGACAGCTGGGCCTGCTAGTTAGTTGAAAGCCCTTGCTGGTGGTGAAGGTTGCAGAACATTTTGGCCTGCCATTCTTCTATAGCTCTGATGAAAGTACTCATGGGAAACATACCATTTCAAGGCCTCATTGTACACTGTCACCCAACTGTGGCTGCTAGAAAAGTCTTCATTTGGGGACTGAAAGAGTCAAGCCAACCTTGGTTCCTTGAGGACTTGATCATTCACACTCTGTCTGGCATGGCTGGGTCTCTGCCACAGCTTGGTAAGCCCCATTGTAGGCCTATGCCTCTCCCTGTTGCTGCAGTTGTTTTCTAAGAGATAGACTAGAATGTTTAGAAGGGAACACTACATAGCAGTGCTTTCTCTTACTATGCAGTAAGAATAGAGAGAATATGTATTATTAACTATTTGTTATTTTAGAGGATAGATCTTTCCATTTTATTTTAAAATTTGACTTTAATATGGTTCATGCTCAATTTTATTAGTTTTGGCAGCATTTAGACTGTGCTATTTTTAAAACTTTAAAAAATATTTATGTCTTGTTCTGAGGAAGGCTCAATATTTCCCTGATTTAGAAGTTTTGCCAGTGTTTTCTGCTTATAGAAAGCTCTGGATTTTGGAATCAAGTTTCTCTTAATCAGAAGACTATTTGGAATATTATTCCAGGGCTGCTGCTGTTACTAATAAATCATGGCCCATTAAAGTGAAGAGAGGCCCCTGAAACATTCCTCCCAGGGTGCTCTCTCTTTATAGAGGAAGAAGCAAAGGCTTCAGGCCACCAGAACTCCCTGGAGCAGCAGAGCTGAAGCAGCTTTCTTTCTCCTTCCTGGTGCTGCTGTTCCCTGTGCTTATAGCCTCTATTAATGGATCTTCATCTCCTAGTTATGTCTTGATAATAAACAGACTTTCCTCTGGATGAGACAGCCAGGTTTTCATAAATGTTCATAACAGGATTTGATGTAGCTAAGTATATAAGCTTCCCTTTTACCACTTAAGTAGTTCACAAACTTGGAATGGAAAATTTGTCTAAGTGAAATGGTATTTCCTCTCAGACTATATTAGGTAAATAAGTCACTGCGCTTTTAAAGTCCTGATTTAAAGGTCCACATGGCAACTTTTCCTTTTGCCTTGAATGCGGGTACTGCTTGCAGGGTTCACTGTGTAAATGTGACAGCATATGCTCCACATGTCTCACAGGAAGCATGCAGACTACATGCGGGTACAATCAAGGCACACCCTTGTAAGGTATCAAGTTAAAAGTCCAAGCATGCATTTGGAAACTTATTTGCAGTACGATTTGTTCATGGACACTGATACTTTTAAAACAACACTTTGTTTAGAGAATAATTAATTTTACCTTAGAAGTGTAGATAACATTCTGATTAAAGAACTTTGGTATGCTTTTCCTTATATACTGGGGATTTTCTTCACCATTTAAAAAAAATCTGTCTAGCAACCTAGCTTTTAAAAAACAAAAAACTGGGGTTTCTGACTTTATATTTCCTGCAATGCCTTAACACTTGTGTTTGTAAAGTTAGTCAATTTTGTCTCAAACCTCAGATCAGGTATTAGAATATTCAATTTGAATATAATGGTTAAATGAAACAGGAGACTGCATAATCTCCTTTCTTCCCACTACCACACTGTATTGCTTAATGCCAAAAACTAAAAACATCAAGCTGCTTTTATGTGACTGTGGACTTGATGATTTCTCCCCCTCTCTCTCTGTCCGTCTCTCTCTCTCTCTCTCCCCTCATCTTCTGAATAATGGGAAGTAAAACTACTTTATTTTTAGAATGATAAAACCCCTCAGGTTCTTTATGACTCAGTCTCAACAGCATGTGGCTGCCTTTTGCCTGCCACACCTCTGAACAGATGAACATGAAGAATGCTATGCTCTGTTGTGATTACTGGAGAATAGACTACTGAATACATTGCTTAATTCTTTAATGCAAGATTTAGTAAAAATTTTACTTTGGAAAAGGATAGAGGAAATATTTCAGTGTGTTAAATTCTGACTGTATTTTATTAAAAGAAACTCCTAATCTTTCACATGGAATATGGAACTGGTTAAATTTTTTCTTGGAATTAGGTTGATTTCTATTTTAACTGTCTAGTACCATTTCATTGCCTAAGTAAATTTATCGGGAAAAAATACATTCAAATTTGTAAGTGAAAATGACATTTGGATAATACAGATATTTTAAAAATACATTAGAAAATATCATAGCTTTAGACCTTGAAAGAAATATTGTTTCATTTAATATATTTGTAACACTCTAGATTTCATTATCAGTACTTTTTAATGTTATTTTCCTAGAAGAACATCTCTATCAAATTTTAAAAATCAATCATGTTAACATTTCTAATAAAGCATAACAGATTTTCACTTAGCTTTTTAAAAAGCACATAATTATATTTAAAATTTATTAGCTACAAAGCATAAAACTAGAGTAATTTTAGCTGCAAATTTAGGTTTATATTTAAATATTGATTTTTTAGAAACTATAGAGAAAAGCTTTAAATTTTACCATATTATTTACAAACATTTATTAATCATTTTAGTGTCTCCTTAGTATTGACTATAAAGGAATTGTACACTGGTACATGTAAGAAAAACATGAAAACATACCTTGTCAGAAGAGAGTAGTTCTCTTGAAAGTAGAATTTATCCACCCTGTACTACTTGTCTATAAGGTAAATGTTCTCAGATAACGTTTAAGAAACAGAGATGAAAAAGTGCCTCATTTATAAGAAAAAACACCCTTCAACACAGCCCCTTGTGTGGCTGCACCCTGGGTGACACTGGAATAAACTGCTTCCACAGATTAGTCCATGTTAGTACTGAGGAGCAAGATTAAAACTTGTTACTGCTCATATGTTTTCCATCACTGTTTGTACCGTAGCCAAAACTTCTAGCTAAACTCTAGACGTCTACTGGAAGATTTGGAAGGAAAAAGAGGAGTTTAATAATGCATGGCAACTGGCCATTAAAATTGTAGTTAGAAACACTCAAGAAGTACCTGATTTGAAAAAAAAATACTTTATGAAATTTGTAAGTGAATAAACACTTATAAATAAATTACAATTTCAGAAGTCACCCTGAATAGACTCATAAAATATTTATCACTCTTGGTGCAGAATCCCAACAGTATAGAAGTATAAGCCCAAACTCTAATGTACCTAAGAAAGGAACCATGCTTTTATTGTCTCCTTATGACCAAAGCTATGACATTAAGCATCTCTAAAGATTTTTTTTGCAAAAGCTCTTAACTCTGCCATAGGCATATCAGTGGAACTGTAGACCAGACCCTAAAAGCTGCTCCCTGGGCACAGCATGTGGTGTGGTGTAAACACACATATGCAGCCAGGTGACTCCTTCCAGTATTTGTGCGGCTTTCCCACTGTAAGAGAGTCTTGGCTGTGCCTTCACTGCTATTGAGGAGACCTGAGAGCAGAGAAAATACCATTGTTTGAGACAAGAATCATTATTTGTGTCCCATTTTCCGCTCACTTCAAGAGATTGCCTAATTCCCCACATCCACTGAGACATAATCATGAGTCTTTGTTCCTAAAGTAATACAAATTTGTATTACTTTAGGAACAAAGACTCACCAGTGTGGGTGACCCCAGTAGATCACCTGATTGTTCTGTGGATTTGGAGCCAGCCTATTTCCAAAGAGCATTTTTGTGTGTTAGCAGAACTTGATCTCTCCTTTTATAAAGAATCTGTTGTCCCCATTCTCAAGAGTCGCACAGTTACACCCATAGAGACAATACTTGTGTCACATATGTGCAGGCAGCTAGCCATATGTTCATCTTCCCCACACATAAATAAAACAGTTGTCCCTGGGCCTTGAATCTGATCATAAGTGTCACCTCAGCACTCCTGTACTGCCAGCCCTCAACATAGCTCAGGTGCTACTTCAGCCTCTAGCACCTGAGGGGATGGCAGCTGTCCTGTTTGGGTCAGAATGCTCTTATTCTCATTTATTATGTTATATTTTAGCTACAGTGTATCTGTTAACTTGATGAATTGGGAACATGGTGGAAGTGTGAACTGGATTGTATTAATCCTTATGCCCACAGCATCCAACATCTGCCTGATTCCATCACAGGGAACTCTTGAGTAAAATTCGGTTTGTCCTACACAATATTTTGCTTTTTAACTTTTTTTTCAAGTGCATATTACAAAGGTAAAAACATACCATAATGTTACAAATTAGTGAATTCTCACTAGCTCATCCATGATTAAGAAATCCCAGCAGTTCCCCAATCCTTCCTTATCATTCTTAGGGAAGCTACTGTCTGACTTCAGCACAATAGATTGTTCCCTGAACCTTTTTTAAATTTCATATAAATGGAATTATACTGTCACCTCTGTCTTGTGTCTCACTTTTTTTGCTCAGTGTTATGTTTTGGGGAGTTATATGGAGGGGACATAATTCTTTTGTATGTATTTTTGCCACCCTTACCATTATGGTTAGCAAGCAGTTCATTTATCTTACTGTATGGTATTTTGTTGTAGGACTACACCACAGATTGCTTATGTAATGGTACCTTGGTATTTAGTCATTCACTTGTTCTGGAAGATGCAATGAGTATCAAAAATGATGAATGTCAAATAAATTGTTTTGGTTGGAAAGGTTAATGAGTCACAAGGCAGTTGATACTATAAGTTCTAGCTTGTGTGTCGAACACCAGAGAAATGATGAGCACTGAGACAAAATGTTTGCACCAAAATATGTTGAGTATCAAATTCAACAAGTTTCAGAGCACTTGAGTACCAATATATGACTATATATTTATTTAACTGGGGTAATTAACTTTTGAAGAACTCCTGTGAACATTTTATGTCTATTTGGGAGGAGTCATAAGTATGTTTTTATTAGGTAGAGAATTGCTATATTTAGAAAGTACAGTGTACAAGATTTTACCTTCTCTTGAAAAATCAACTTTTGAAAGTGCATAGTTCCTATTTTTGCAAGACAACTGTCTGTAGTTTAGGCTTCTGTCAGGGAGATGAGTGTTTTTTCTTCTCTGCTTATACACGTACAGATCTCCTGCCAGAGCTCAATTCCCTTAGCCTAGGGAAATAGGAGGCAGTTCCTATTTCTTTAAAGGTATGTTACAGCTTCTTTCTCTTCCTTGTCATTGTGACATTTAAATTAGTCTTTGCAGTTTGGTCAGAATCTTGGGGAAAGAAAGGCCATGCAGTGTGATGCTGGCACAGGTGGCATATTTGGCTTGTTTACTCTGTTCTGCAGATAGAGTGGTAGAGGAGTGGCCCTGGACCCAGCCCTTCTCCATCTTATTGCTGTGTGGTGGGAAGCTTCATCTCACTTCTGTCAGGCCAGATAGGGCAGACATGAACTGAAGTGACACTTTCCTTGCTACTCTTTTTCAGGTTGTCATTCAGAGCATACAGTGGGCCTCCTGTTACCTAAGTTCAGAAGACAAGATCTCGCATCTTTAGTTCCTTTGTGGGTTATATGGAGGGGACATAATTCTTTTGTATGTATTTTTGACTTTTTTCCTTATTGGGTTTTGATCTAAATATTGAAGAACTATTTCTAACAGTATCTTTAGAAGCCATGAATAAGCTGTATGTCATATTGCAAGCAAAAAGATAAATTACAAAACTGATAAAGTAATATTTTCTGTACTGATACTTTATGAATAGAAACATTGATTGTCATCAATGGAATTTCAGTGCAAATTAGGTTTTTTTTTCTCTTGGTCCTGTATATTTTGGCCATAGCAAAAATAAAAAGTTACTAATGCCAAAGTCACATGTGATTTCTACAGCTCTCTCTATCAACAGCAGAGGTTAGAAGTCCAGATACAAATCAAAACAGGGAAGGAACTTAGAATCCATCCCATATAAATTAAAAACAAAATGGTTAAGGAAGGTGTTACAGGAGTTGTGTGTAGCAGAGATGGGCTATGGACACATGCAATGCCTGCCAACAGTTTGTGTTTTCTGTTGTTCATTAGCTAGTATGTGCCTTTTGAAGGAATTGAAATGGATTGTATAACCTTCTTGTGTAGTGGTAAACTACAAAGAAGACCATCTACCATCTGTTCATGCAACAAATAGTGTGAGTGCTGTGGAGGCAAACAATGAGAGTTTAGGGGGCTCCCCATTGGGTGTAGGTTGCAAGGAAGTGTGCCATGAAAATACTACTTGACAAATGTTTAAAACCATTGAATCTTAAGATATAAGTATGCACAGCATAAGGTTTTGCATAGAGTAGATACAAAAAGTTCTGTGGAGGAATGGATAGGTCAGATTTTGTGAGTTTTCATATTCAAGTGTCCTTCGTGGTGGACTAGGCAGTTTGATTTATGATTAACTTATACTGTAGATTATGAACTATGGGTAACATTCGCCCTGTAGCTATTTTAGAAGTGTATGACATTTTTTTCTAAAAATCAAGGAATTTTATGTCAAAGTTTACATTTGTAACATAACTTTAGAAATGCTGTCTGATAAAAATGTCTCTGACGTCCTGCATGAGAGTAGTTTGCTGAGCATACAGGGAACACCTCCCCAGTTCTCTAGTGCTCTTACCTATGATGGACTCACTTCTACAAGATCACAGGGCTGAGCTTGCTCTCATCATCTTACTTAAGGTTTCCTGTTCTGAAGAATGAATTACTGCCATAGGTCATTTAATGTGAATTCAGTTGAATTTATGAATAATGAAGGACTTCTGCAAGTTAATTAATCATGTATGGATATCAAATATTTTTTAAAAAGTCTCAAAAGTCAGTTTGCTTTAAAAAATCAGAATAAATAACAGTTTTGTTTTAAATAAATTTCCCAACTCTTCCCATTGAGAAGACCTGAGAACTGTGAGTCTATCTAACTTTCAGGTGTGTGTTTTTAACCATTATTTTCTACCAGAAAGAACTGGGCCTTCTTGGAGAAATGGCCAGTAACAGTCTGTGAGCCTTCATTAGGTCTTGAACTTCATGTATGGCAGCATAGGGTATTATTGGAATAACTCAGTCTTTAAAATGTACTATATGTTTAATAATATTAAATTAATGTTTAGTTTTTTGGATTTGATAGTGATAATTATCTCATGGTTGTATAAGAATATGACCTTATTCTTAGATAATTCATACTTGAGTATTGAAGTATTAGGATATCTGAAAAATACATTTAAATGGTCCATCCCATGCCAGTGGGTAGAGGGATGAGTGCATGTATTGATGTATGGACACAGATATAGATACAAGTGTACAGATGGAAAGTTAAAAATAATTATATAGACTTATGCAGATGACAACTGGATACAGTTGTAGATACAAGTATATAGATAGAAGGGTAGATGGGTAGATATAGATACAAATGTATGAATAGATGGGAGAATGGACAGGCAGACATAGATATAGTAGGAGAGACAGATGAAAAGAATTGACTGAGTATTAATTGGTGAACAGAGGTGAAAGGTATAAACTTGTTTACTGTATTCTTTAAATTTTTTGTAGTGTTGAAAATACTACTAAATTAATGGGAATAAACTCTTAAAATTGGGCCAAATAAGGCAACTTGCCTTAATTTTAATCCTTTGATTTATCTTTACTGTAATAAAATACTGATGGTAAAATTTAAATTTATTAAGCCTTTACTCTAGACAGGGATTCTTAACTTGAGTAGATGGATCCCTGGAGGATTTGTGGAAAGATTTTTAGATAGGTATTTTTCTTCAGAGAGGGTCCATCCTAGCTTTCACTTTATTCTCAGAGGGATCCTCAAATAGTTAAAGAACTACTGCTCCAGAATAGACTTCTAGTTTGTAATGCATTCTTTATTCTGGGTATCAAATATTAGTTGAATTAACCTTGAAATGGTTCACATATAAATTTGGTATTTG